AACTTGTTATCTCTTATCAGTTACGCGAAAAATGATAACATAAAAATCGCGTTTTCGCGGTTTTTCGAGTAACTGATAAGAGATAACAAGTTGGTGTCTTCAGGAATGTTGTAGAGCTCAATTCTTTCTACAGCTTTGCTTAAGACATATTTCCTCTAACTCTTATCAGTTACGCGAAATATGACAAGTGAAAAACCCGTATTTTTCGCGGTCATCTGCGGTTTTTCGCGTATTTTGTGCAACTGATAAGAGATAAGAGATATCTGTCTGGGACAAAATTGTAGAGCGGGACAAGTACTACAATATTTTTGAAGATTTTATTCCTTATCTCTTATCAATTATGCGGAAAACCGCGAAAAACACGATTTTTATGTTATCATTTTTCGCGTAACTGATAAGAGATAACAAGTTAAAGTCTTCGGCAATGTTGTAGAACTCAACCTGTTCTACAACTTTGCTGAAGACAGATATCTCTTATCTCTTATCAGTCCATAAAAAAATTAGATACAAAAAATACGCGTCTTCCGCGTTTTTTGCATATTTCGCGGAACTGATAAGAGATAACGGAATAGTGTTTGTAGAAATATTGAACTACTTGACATGCTCTATAACTTTGCTCCAGACACAAATCTTTTAATTCTTATCACACTCTAGTTTTCATACAAAAATGCACTTTGTACACCCAGGCACCAGATTCACGTATAGCGCATCACACATGCTTATGCACATATGTGATGACATAGTATGCGTATGTGAGTATGTTAGCGCAATTCATGTAGTCAAATGTTCAACAAATCGAACCATCTTTGTGTAAATCATTTATGATGAAAAATTATAAAGATATAAGTGTTTAAAATTTTGCACTCAGTGCCCGATTCACGGTTCTAAGGTTAAATACTGCAACATAATTTTTTATTTAGAATTGTTGTTGTAAACTGTATGTTATTTGACTTTAAAACAGAAACATTTTGAAGGCAGCCTTTTGTCGCACCGGTTCGAATATGCCAGATAGAAATATTTTGTAAAACACGATGCAAAACTACAGAATGCACGGAAGACTTGTAGAATATACAAAACCGTTTTGTAGCTCGAATATTTGGTGGAGTGTACGAATATTTTCTACATTCTACAAAATAAAATTTGGTTTTGGCAAATAGGTGTTTACTCTACGGCAACAAATAGACTTTGTGCGATAAAATCTGCCGATACATGTTCGCACGTACGTCTTTCAAATTGGACGCACGCGTAAGTGTAAATCTGGAAGTATAAATATATCCTTTAGAGAAGGGTGTTTTTCATAATCTGAATAAGACAAATGGTAGATTATAAACTGAAGAGAAAAATAAAAATCTGTAGGTATTCACACAACAGAGCAATCGGTATTCACACTTCCCGAAGCAAAAAACAGTCTAATTTGAATACATATTTTTGTATTTTTGGAACGCTACCCAGCATCTGTCAAATTCAAACATTTGAAATGAATCGGTTAGATTAAAAGTGACCTCCGACGATTTGTTGGTCACCGATTCAAATAACAACCATTCCATCTACTATGTGTCAGTCTAAGTGTAAACAAATTTCTTACAAAAATTTCGATTTGTGTATGTGCTTCACATTAGGAGTGTGATCATGGTTTGTATTTCAAAATCAACAAGCTGGTCTAGAATAAGAAGGAATTCGGAAATTCGATAATATCAGAAGGTGTCTCAGCGTCGGTGTTATTCAAATTGCCGAAACAAAGCAAAACTGTGGCTGATGAAGATGAGGTCGAAATCAAACGCAAATATTTGGCAAAAGAGTTCGTGTATGCGAGAGGTAAGCATTCACGGAATGAAAAAAGGAGGAAGATAAAAAAGAATTATTTCACTTTTGTTGCATTTTATTTTCAGAGCAACGAGAAGATTTCGTTCAAACAATACCATCAGAAATCGAAGCAAGATGCGCGCAACATTAGAGTCGAACGAATGGCACGAGTCTTTACGTATGACGGGCAAGCAGATCTCAAGCGTATTGCCGCAGAGATTGGCCAGACACTATCGCCACGGAACATATCTTGGTGCCATTACATCGAACATAGCCTGCGAATGTCCCAAGATGGTATTGCGGCATACAGTCAGAAAAACTATGCACGTTTACATTTGGACAAACATATTGAATGGCATCGTGGTCGGTGGATGAATACATGACAGAGCAAACGATACAAGAATTGCAACGACTGCCGACCGCATGAACGTGTTGGACTTCCGAAAACCATCTGTGCGAACGTGAGCAAACGAGCGTTGCAGATGCAACGGAAAATCATGCCTACATGGGGGGAAATGCGAGACCAAGGTGCATTACCATTGCAGCTATTCTAACCCAACGAAATTCAGAACGTTCGGTGTCAAAGAAGCAATGCATCTTCAAAACCTGGCAACCAAATGCTGTTGAAAACGCTGGAACAGAAGACGCTGCACAATCTCGCAAGTTGCTCAGAACACTTTGGCGTCGGGACATATCAGCAGCCAACCTGATTTTGTATAAAGATTCATTATCTATTATTATTTCATTTGAAAAGTGGAATTGAATTGGTTTTCGCTTGAATTAAATGTTATTTGTGTGCTTATTTACTATTTACTTAGGTTTATGCACGCCGCTTGACATTCTGATGCATCCAGCATTGATGCGATAACCAGATGACGACGGCTTTCCACTCAATCTATAATTCAAAATCCAGCGGTTAGCATTAAAGTTTTTTTCAACGAATATTTTTTAATAGTTTGTCAGAGTTCTGAAGACTTAGTGGACTATTTTAGGTGCATAAGGTATTTTCTTAGAGGAATCTTCATTGAGTGGTTTTATAGACGTTATTTGATGATCTGAATAGATCATCTCCATTTTTACTTCAGATTACCGTGATATGGATATGATTTCTTCAATGCATCATATGACGGTAAGTAAAATTTGTTCAACGCTTCGAAGCGAGAGTTATTCAGACATTTGATAGAATAAAAACAGTCTTTATTGCTCCGGGAAGTGTGAACACCATTAATCATACGGTTAGTGCAAAAGCATTCATTGCCTCACCTAACGCGAGCGCCATCTGTTCAGTTTGAACATGAAAACAAACAAATTGATCCATACAGAGTTATAATACAACAACATCTCTATATAGAGGAAACGCTGTGGTTCGTTTTGTTCGGCATATTTTTTATACACTGCCCTCATTTCCACCGATTCATGTATCGGTTGGCAGCTGGAGTCACTTTGTTTGTTTTCATGTTCGCACCGAATAGATGGCGTTTGCGTAAGGGAGAGCAATAAATGCTTTTGCACTAAAGGTATGCCATTAATAATTGATACACACACAAAAAGTAATCTCAGTAAGATCGCAGTAGTTCTGACTGACTACATACATTACCACAGGTTACTGAGAATCTACCACAGTGTATTTGTATATATCGGTGATGAAGTTACCAAAGCTTGTTTGAAAGTTACCACAACGACAAAATTTTTTTTACATTTTGTGTACGAGTAACTTTGACACAAACTGTGGTAACTTTATCACTCACCATAATATGCAGTGAACTTACACCATTTTCAGTCTGTGTGCAGAATTTTTTTCTCTTTAATATAAAATCTAACATTTCTCTTTTTTAGGTTATGAAAAACACCCTACGTAGAGAAATATACAAAGCCCAGTACCTGTCTTAATTATCCTCTTTTCTACTATTCCATTTAGATTCTTTCATTTACAAAATCTTTCCATACGATCTTTAACATTGTTCTATTTCCAGCTTGAATTTCAAAGTAAATTGGCACCGAAAACAAAAAAATCGAACATAAAAAACCAAAGTATTTGTTAGCGCCCTAATATGAGAATGAGTCCTCGCCTGATACATGTCATTTCTAATAATCAGTAACATCACCAGCTTATGCTTGTCATCCCTCAAATATATAATAAGTCTCATATGTTTTATGTTTTATCGGTTACTATTTATTCCAAATTTATTTGAATGGCAAATTCTTCTCTTCTTTTCCATTTTTTGTTCAGATTTCTGGATAGAATATAAATGATTAATTTTTTATCGGTTGTCATTCATTTTATGTATTCAAGGCGAAACAGTTCAAAACATCGTGTGACTGTGAATGGATCATTGTCAAAGTGAAAGATAGGTTAGCATTTCTTCGTTTATTCTTCGAAGAAATAAATAAAAAACACTTTTTATGGAAACAACAAAACAACTTAAAGTGGATCACAAAGAAGACATAATTTCTATGTGGTCGGTTTTTGACGGAATTTTTTCCATAGAAATTTTGTTACTTCAGAAATTATATTTGCCGAAGAGGAAATAAACCTGGTTGATTTAATTAGACGTTGGCATGCTTTATTTACTTTATACAGAATGAACATATATGAATTTTATTTGAAGACATTGTTTGATTCGATGTAACACATAGAATAACTATGTTATCTTTTGTACTCAAAATTTCTATTGATTGAATTATTCGTTTAGTATTTCCCGACAGCTATGTTTCCATAAATTTGAATTGCTGTAATCAAGAATCAATTGTTTCCATATTGAATGTGCAATTTGTGCATTGGTAAGGGATCGAAATTCTATTTAGAAGTGTTTTTATTGTATGTCTTGTTTCATATTCTGTTGCTAATTTTCATATTTATTGAATGATAGCATATATTTATAATATGTTGCCTAATTTGATTGATGATTTTTTTTTCTTCTGAAAAAGTATTATATTACTCTTTTTTATTCATATGTATGTATATGTGTATGTTATGTGGTCTCCATATACTTTTTCTTATTCAATGTGAATAAAACAGTCCTTATGCAAGTGTCTTTATTACAATATGTTTTCTTTTTTAAATGTTATGTTATTTAATAAATATATTCTTTTATAGACATTCGATATAATAATGTAATCTTAATTGTTTGCAAACGTTATTTTCTTGTTTACTTTATGAATAGACACGGTTAAGACAAATGAAACGAACAAGAAGAGAAGAATAAAAAATAATGAGGGTTTTATAGGCATTTCTTCAGGTTTTCCTTTTATTTGGGGTTGCATAGGGTTTTTGCCTTTTCTTCTCTTCTTCGGTTTTTTTTTTTACTGTGGCGACAATTGTTCGTAACAATTTAAATATTTTCTTCATTAGATTTGATTTTTCTCCTGTTTCATTTTCGATATACAACAAAAAATTCCATGAAATGAAATTAAAAACTTTGCGAAGCAAATTAAATATAAATATAAATATAGCAATAATAATTGGACACAGAATATTAATTTCAATGAGTAGCAAATTAATTTCTTCGATATTTGCAAATTGTTTTCCCAATAAATTCAAGTATACAAACAGTCAATTAAAAGAAATAAAATGAAAACATAATGATTTGGGCCTTTTGACAACAAATTTTATCGCTTAAGATTGAAATCTTTATCAAAAAATTGATAGCAAACCAAATGAAAAAAATTACTAATTGTGAAATTTATTGAGTTTTCAATCTGGATGTGATTTAGGAATTTACCCAAAAGAAAAATACAAATCATTTAAATGGTCAATTAGTGAATACCTGTAAATTTTGTATTTGAATACAAATAATGTTTTTACACAGTAACAGTAAAAAAATATCCTCTCAAAATGAAATAAACCTAATTCAATAACACTCTATGCATGTAAAGCATAATTTTGTGGCGACAACGATGACAAAAAATGTTATATACATGTATGAATATATATTTTTTGTTTACTTCTTCTCGCTTCAGCCTATTCGTCTGTTTCCGTTTTGCCCGAATGACTCGTGTATTGGAATTGTCTGAATTATTATTTTGCACGTACTTGCATGCATACTTGTATGGACATAAAGTGAGGATTTTCTTTTCTTTATTTTAGTTCGAAAAACGAACAAAATAGTAAAACAGATGTACTGAAATTCACACATTCAATTCGCAATTCATACATACCGACATCATCTGAATATTAGAAATCATGTATCTTGTCACATTGCCTAAACACTGAATTATATTAGATCGCATACTAAATTGTCAAAAGTTTCTCTCCAAATATTATGTGATATCTCAGAAAATATTGAGCGTGTAGCACTGTTCAGAGTTTTATTGCCCAATACTTTCTATAATTTAGAATTTCTCGTGCATTTTTTCCGTGCGTCCGTGTGTCTTGAGTAGCTTGATTTAGTTTAAATTATTGATCATTGTTATTGTTGAAGTTGCATCGTTTGTTCTTACTTTTTTCTCTTTGCTTCTTCTTCGAATCATTTCGTAAAATTTAAGTTCAAACCTTCGTTAATTAATGCTGAAACGTTTGATCGGTGACAAGTCAAAATTTAAGGAAAATAAGTGTTTTCATGTTTGTGATATTGGTGTTTCTTCTTCGGGTGACCAAAGTTTTTCATGTTCTTCCAGTTCTGATTCTAAGCGCCGTTCTAAGTCACGCATATCTTTATCTATTCCATCTTCGTATGTGTCATCACAGCCAAACTTTGGCGCTGGTAGATGCATAATATTCACATTATTTGTGTTGCCACTGCTACTGTTGCTGCTTTTGCCGCCACCGCAGCTGCTGCTGCTGATGTTGGCTTCTTTGCGGTCACAATGCGGCGAATGGACTTCTTTTATTTTAATATTTAAATCACTCGATTCATTTGTAGTTTCTTCACATACACTTTGATTGTAGTCGACTATTGGTTGAACGCTCTTTGCATTTCGGCCTATTGATAGCATTGCTGCTTTGTGACCACTTGCCTGTTGCTTTGAATTATTCCAGAACTCAGATTTCATAAGCAAGTAATTCGATTGATTGCTAGGTGATGGAACAGCATTTGATGGACTCCATAAGAATTGATCGATTGAATTTTGTGATGACGCAAACTGCATTGGATCAGACGTTAATTTAGATCTGTGCCCATTTCTATTGGTTGGCAATTCGTTTAAATGAATTACCTTGTTTAAGTCCGTCATTGCAATATTCGAGCTTCTCATAAGTTTTTGTTCGATAAACTTCAGTTCCATTGTCAGTATGTTTTGTTCATCTTCGTTGCTATTATTTGGTCCGTATCCTGTTTGAATGTAGAGAGAATTTGCCGTGGAATGTTAAACAATGTTATTGATTGACTCATTTTGGTGCAAACAATTACCATCTCTAGCCATGTTTTCGTTAAGCATTGGATCTAATTCGTTCGATTGGTAGTTGTACTGATTTGAGGATTTTTGTAAATTATTGTAGAGCCATACCGACGGTTCGGATGAAGTCGATGTGACAGTTGTCGTATTCGGAGCAGTAAAATTATCAGCGGACAAACCTGTATATGTTAATAGGGTCCATTTATTGCAGATTCTTTCTATAAATTAAAATACCACCATGGCAAAATAACTCACCTGTTGAATATGGTGATGTTTTGGCCGACATTCGTGAAATAGGTCCAAATTTACTTTGTGCTGGTGCATCAAATGGAACATAATCGTCGTCTGTTAGAATTGAATCCGATCGCACGAATATATCACGACTATGAGAGTCAGGGTTGGTTTTTTGGGTTTGACTATCACAAAGGATTGGTGGTGTGGCATAGGATAATTCAACTGGCGAACGACTACTGTTGTTCGGTTGTGGCTGTTGAAGGGAACTTTGATAGCCAAACTCATTGCCAGCAATTGTATTGTTCCAATAGTTGTTCATCAAATCATTTTTGATCTGTGGATTCGAAGGCGGTGGCACATTGATCTCATTATTATTGATGGTATTGGAGCTATTATTATTTTTGCTTTGATCGTTCGTTGTCGGTGCTGCTTGATTTGATATATGGTATGCATTATTGTTTCCGTTCACAGCTTGTTGCGTTGATTGTTTGAAGCTTGGATTATCGTATTGTTTTAGTTTAGCTGATGAATGAAAGAGAAAACTATTAGTTATTGCTTCGATTTTGTAAAATTCAATTGATTTTGATCATAGAAGAAAAGATCATAAAAATATTATTCAATACTTCTAGCGAAGAGAAAAAACAACAGAGCAAAATGTTCATTACCTATTATCTCTTGGCGTCGAATCTCCAGGCTTTGAAGCATTCGAATGTCGTACATTGAAGATTCGGAAAACTGGTAATTATTATTTGATGAAGTCGTGAATTGCATTTTCGGCTGATATTTCGATTTTAGGTCTATTTTATTGTTGACGCAGTTGCTATTGTCCATGTGATATTTCTGGGTCTGTTGTTGGCTTGGATGTTGCGGTGATTTCATGAGCGGTGACATTCCTGCTTTGATATATGGCTTATTATAAGCTTCGTTCATCGTAAATTTGCCAGATGCATGCGGTTGCGGGTAGTTCGTTGGAGAGGAGTACATGATCGGAATCTTCGGTTGATATTTTTGTTGATGTCTTGGATTCATAGAATCTAAATGAGATCGATTATCCTGATTGCTGCCGGCATACATATGTGACTGAATTGAAGGCAGTGGAGGTGGTGGCGGTGGTATATTCATAGGCGAAATTGAATAATTTTGGCTTTGTTGTGCATTGAAGGAACGACGTTGGGTTTTTGTTTCAAAAGATGTCTGTAATGAGTGTAATGAATACACATTCATTCATACTATTCATAGTATTCTTCACTTTTGATGTTGAAAATAGGTCAAATACTTACCGAAGGTTGCAGAGAGTTCATCGATGGTTTACCCATTGAAATTGCAGAAACTGTTATATTGGGACCCTGTACCATAGATACTGGTGATTTTTTATACATTCCGTGTTCGAACTGTGGCTGTTGGACCAGCACACCTGATATCATAGCTGGACGAGGTAGTTTTTCAGTGTTGTTATGTCTTTGTGGCGATACATCTTCATTTGATGATGACATATAAGTGTAGTTGTTGTTGTGACTGTGGTCGGTTAGGTAATCGCCTGGGTCTGCGCTGAGATGATTGGTGCTGGCAATGATTGGTGTCTTGGCGTGTAGCTTTCGATTTTTGGCTCTGTATTTTTCCAATTCTTCCTCAGAATGGGCGAACGTGCAGCTAGCTCCACGGGGACAAATGGCTCGCATTGCCAAATCTCGACACATACTGATTTTATATTTACCATTATGTGCCACATAACTGTTGTCTTGCATCTTTCTATTGCCGTGATGTTGGACAAATTCAACCAAACCGATAACAACTTGCTTGACTGCTTCTAGTGATGCAGCCAACTCTTGCCATGAATCATTTTCGGCGGTCGGATCGATGTTTGTAAGTTGTTTCAAATGAGCTCGTAGTCCAGCTAAATTGGCTGGATCATTGGTGCGCTGTAGAGCAATCACTAACTCCTGAACAGATTGAGCAAATGACTGAGGTGTTTGAAGTTTGTCAATGATGCTTTGCATGTGTGATTTATGTCCAGTGTCACCGTATAACAGAGCAGACCATTGATCCGGAGCAATTCGAAGACCAGCTTCGGTAGCAATTTGAACAATCTGAGCATCGTGCTCACGTCGAAGTGCATCATATGTTCGAAATTCCTCTTTGAGTTGCATGAGCGACGAATCACCTTCACGCTTCGAAACTTTGAAGCAGCTGGCACGGTACAGCAACTGTACGACGTGACCGATGCTGGTTTTTGACGCTTGGGGAAAATGCGGCTCAAGTCGTTGCACTACAAACATCACCAACACTTTGCGAGATAGAGCCGAACCATCTTCCAGTGCCAACAGTACCAGCTTAAGTACTTCTTCCTGCATTGCAGGACCTAAGAATTGACATCCACGAGCACGCACAGCTGCCCATAGATTGGCACTCAATTGCTGCGGATTTTGATGCTGTAAAATGAGCTCAGTAACGGTTCGTTCGCCAAGTGATCGGGCAGCTCGCAATGCTCGGCTACGGCCTTCAGCTTCAACCAATTGGCAATTGATCAGTGTCACCAATTTCCGCTGCATTGGCCGAGATAACAGACTTGTGATGTTGCCATTGTTGAACGGTTTCAAATACAGTGCCAAATCTTCGATGCATTTCTTTGAGATGTTATAGCATTCTAATTGGTCAGCAGTTAGTTTTTTAACACTGCCAGATAAAGGTTCAGTGCCACTCACAGCTGCGCCAGCGGCTGAAGATGAACTATTTTCGATCTCGAGCGATGATGCGTGGGTATTTGAAGACAAACACGTTTCAGTTGCATTCGAGGATGTCTGCTCTTTTTGTGTTACATTGTTATTACTTACTAATTGTAAAAGTGCATTATTTATTGGTAAATTATCTAAATCTGTGATTATTGCAGCCTGAAATATAATATTTAGAAAATACACAATGGGAATGAAAAAATATACTCATACAAAATATGAAATAAAAGCAAATGCATTGCAATGGATAATTACTTGGTCAAATGGGCATTGTTTTCTATGTAAATTCGCTAAACATGTTTTACATATGGTGTGACCACATCCTAAGCTAATTGGAGGACGAAGTTTTACTGCAAACTGGTGGCAGCATACCGGACAAGACAGGAATTCTGTCCATTGTGGCGCCTGAATCGGCATTCTTCTGCAAAAATAAAGAGTATTTACCATATTCATACAACGATTTTGAATGAATTTAGCAAATTTGGTCAACGTTTCATGTAAACTTCATGTTTGAGTCAATTCACAATCTCTGGATGAAAGTCATTTCGTAATACACGGTTCAACCATTCAAATTATCCGTGATACAAAATTAATAACAGCTTGGACTTTTAAAAAATGCATTCAGATTGGACAGTATGGTTGCATACTGCCATTTCCATTTAATTCAATTTATTATGTAAGTAATTAAATTTCACGTCATAAATTTTAGCCAGTCACCAGTATTTTTGTTTTTATTTTCAAAAGGATTTCATTGCGAGGATAAATGAAAGCACACACCAGATGAGGATGTTGAAAATGTCTCTTCTCATTCATGGCTAATAAACTTTGCTACGAATATTCGTTTTTTTACCAAATCCCGTTACGAAGGTATCATCAAAATTATTTGACCAATATGCCTAGCTCACTCCATTATTTGTTTTTTTTTTCGTTTGTTTTCATTTTCAATTTGGGTATTTCATAACGAATCGAAACATTCGATAGACTTTAATATACTTTGTGTATTACACACAGTTCAATTGAAAACATATGTAATAAATAGAGCTGCACTTAATGCCTATATTCCATTCCGCAATGGAAAAAATTCCGTACGATATTGCTCGCACATTCACGTCATTTGCTCGCACATTCATTTTTCTTTTTCTTTCATTCATTCACTCCATCGTTCATTCTTTCACGTATTAGTGTTTTTCAACTTTACGCTTTGACTAAAGAAATTAAGTCGAAAATCATCACAATCGTATGTTTAATTGAATAATGTGAATTCGCTCTTTATCGATTATACGGAGTTCTCCGAAGCAAAAAAAAAAAAGAAGAAAAGAAACTGAGAAATTATTATGAAATTAATATCACCATAAAAATGCCAACTAGACAAAAATTTGTCACATTTTCCTTTTTACACTCCACATATTTCTTACACTTTTCTTCTTTCTCCCTCACTAGCACTGACATCACACGGTGAACATTTTGCATCTCTTGAATTTTTCCATTTAAATTATTTTTCGTACATTTTTATTCTAAATCAAACACAATTATTTCATACGAAGTAATTAATTTTTGATGGATGAACTCGACAAATGGTTCCCCGAGCCACAGAAATTCCCTACGAAAATATTTTTTCGAACATTTTATTTCATTTACCTTGACTATTCATATGAATATCACATATTATAAATACAAAATAACGTCAAAACTATTTGCTGCGACATCCCATCGACTTTTGCAATTTAATGGTGAAAAATGGCATGTTGTCGTAGATTCGTCATAGCTTTGAAACGACTACACGAACAACGAACGAAAAATATATATATGTTTTACCTCTTCTATTCTATTTTTATTCGTACTACGCGATGAATGCGTTCAATTCACTTTTCACTTTCAACAAATTTGTCATACTTCTGCGCTTTTTATTTCGAAATAAACTTTTTTCATGGGAAATCGACATTTTCTTACTCAATTTTTCGTTTCGAAATCATTTTAATTAATTTTCATGTGAAAATATTTATATAAAATCAAAGCTTTTAGATATATATTTTTTCAATCGCTCATTATTTCATCGGACAACTCTATGCTATTGGGTACTAAATGTCAAATCACCGTTCAATTATTTGAACAAAACAATGTAAGGTAGAAAATTTGTCGATCGTACTTCGTACTCTTTGACCGCGAAATAATAAATATTGAATGCTAGATTGATAGGCAGGTAATGTGATGAGATTTGTGCAGAATTTAAATGTCGAACGTTTTAAATAAAACACAAACCCCAATTAAGAAATTCCCTTCTTAAAAACGTTCGCCCGACCACGAGAAGCACAACGGCACACAAATTAACAAAGCCGTGAATAAAAAAAGTGGCCAAACACCTGCGACAGAAACTCAGAGAACACATTAGTACATGAACAACTTCTATTGAAAATACAAATTAATAATGAAAATGTCATGCGAATCGTGTTTGTCGAACTAATAAGTATGCAACAAAATGATGACAACTGTAATTGTTTGGAAAGTTGTAAAAGCTAAATTTTATTTCGGACAAGTGGTTTAAATAAAATTTTAAAAGTTGTTGCGATTGACGAACATGAAATTATTCATAATTTGCACATTTCTTCGTAATCATGAACGATGATTGGCTGCAATACGTTGCTGAACGTTTCTAATGAGCAAGGCGAATCACAGTTGGGTATATCAATTCGTTTCAACTCACTTTCATGATTGAAGCTGTAGAAAATCTGTGTGCAATAAATTGAAGGAAAAAATACGTTGAATACAAGAATTTGTTATCATGATAACACAAATTCGATTTGATTTACTGAACACATCACCTTAACTTCTAAATCGCCAACGATGAGAGGGTTCTGGTGTAGTTCGAAATATAAAGCAGCTGCAAAATCCGGTTTCCTCGTAGTTTGCGGAATGATATCAAGTGCACGCATTACATTGACCAAAGTGACATCATGTCCAGAGTAAATGAAGAGCTTTCTATCTGGCTCCAGCTGATTGTTCTTTTTTCTAACCATTTTATCGAGGACATCGGTGACAAAGAAGCCTACAAATAATGAGTTGATAGTTGATTTTAATATAGAAATAACTTGATTTCATCCGGATATAATATATATCTTACCTCCCTTAATTTGTTTCATGTAATCTGTTTCGGTAAGCACGGCTAGATTACGTTCGGCCAGAGCTAATAATTTATCTGGAAATACGGATTCCGTCCATTTGGGCAACTTCAAGCCATTTTTCTTTTCTATTGACAATATATTGTATAACTGTTCTCCTTGATGAACATTCGAAATATTCTGTAAAACAAACTATCATTTGATGTACCATTTTTTTTATAATTATATGAACTATTTTACCGCTCCCGTGTGTTTGCTGATGTATTCAAATAATTCCGTATTGTCTTGAAGAAACTTTCTCAGCTCTTCGGGTGGGTCTGAATACATTTTAGCTAAAAGGTCGTCATACTTCGGGCAGTTGGCTTTTTGAGAAATGAGCTAGAATTGTTTTAACAAACAAAATTCATTTGAAATTCTTAGAAAAATTTACATTTTTTTCTTCATTACTTTATCTCTGTCTCGTGGTACCGAATTTATAGCAACCGGTTGCCTGAATAAATGAGGCAAAAATATACAGAATAAATAAAGGTACAAAATCATACATAAAGACAAAGTTCAAAGCCACATGCCATTTGATAGGTAAAAGATTTTGGCCATTGTTCGGTGGCGGAAGGAGCGCGGCTAGAAAACTTTGAGCGGTCATCAAACACCTTTCAGTTGAAGAGCTCGACACGTACCTACATGAATTTACATTTTTTTTTTTTACATTACTCATACATGAATTTACAATTTTTTTTTTTAACACGTACATTTCATTTGTTGTGTAAAATCCATTTGATGGCAACAGATGCGTGTACCTTTTTCGAACTTTCTCTCCAAGCTTGAAACCCTGTAACGCCCCTCTCTGCCAATACGAAAAAAAAAACACATAATAATATGACAATTTATAGAAATGACATTCAGATACAACTATGTATTTAACAACTATGTTTTGAGATCATATACTGAGAGATCCAAAAAAGCTGGATTTTCATTTAATTTATTATAATTGTAGCATAGTCATTCACACATAGTCAGTATTCCTTTGTTACCGCATTAATTACCTACTTTTTCAACTATTTGTTTACTAATATTATTATTGTAATTGCATTACCAATGTCAGGGCACCGAAACCGCCAATCCATTTAAAATCATCATGATGTGGGTCATTTGGATATAGTCCAGTGGGCGATCGTTCTCCATGCCGAAAAACCTACATGAATCAAAACATTGAATATTGAATTTTGTAAAAAAGTTCAAATATAATTTTAAAAGAAATAATAAACTTACGACTGTTGCAAATATTACGGTCGATTCGGAAGAGTCAATGTGGTTTTCGGAGAAAGCATAATATGCCAAAAACACAATGCATAATGTAACAGCTAGCAGTGCAACTGAAATGGTCATGTTCCGGTGATTATCACAACGTGCGTCCGCCATAAAGAAGATTCACAAGAATGACTAAAAATTTAGATTTGACGTTTGAAATTTGCGCCTTCAATACAATAACTGAGAGACAAAGTAAACTGTGAATTACTTGACCAATTCAGTCTATATAGTGTTGAATCATCGAATTAACAGTGACATTTTGTTTTCAACACAGCTGTTTTTATCATAGAGTTCATTTGACAATTGAAAGTGTACAAGTATTGGAACGTCAAAAATAATCAATAAATACAAGTATTCACGAGTGCAGTGTATTTTAATTTATGTTAATCGAAGATGCAGGATGTTGTACTGAATATAGATAATAAGGAAATTTTAAATGAGGTAAAATGCAAATCAATTCCAGTATTCAGTGATAAATTATGACATTTTCTTTCGTTTTTCTATAGATACTACATTATTCCATTGACTACTTGATTAGATCAACGAAGCACAAAAATGTGTCATTGACAAAATTAAGTCATAAATTTGGATTTTCAAATCCAGATGAATTTGAAAACGCAATCAAATTCATATCAAACATTTATCGACAATTCATCTTGGAAATGATTTCGGAGGCTGAGTTATTGTCACACTTCGCTCATTTCAATGCCGATTTTCAACAGTCTGTATTGGATGTATTCTCAGTGCGGCGAACTGAGATGGAAGAATTTCTTATTATCGAGCACAATTCACGAAAAAGCAATCTGTTGATGTCTTTCGATTGGGATATTCGAAAAATTCTTGGAACTAGCAATATGGCATCATTGCACACTCAAATTACCTCGCTAATACTCAATTGCAAAACACCGAATTCAACAAATTTGAAAACCATACACATGGAATTGTCTCGAGAGCAAATTGACAAATTGATAACAATATTGGAAAAATGCGACAAAAATTTAACAGCAATTGATTAAAGATGTAGACTGTAGAGAATGAAAGTCAAATGAATTTCAAATAAATTTAAATTTAATTTAATTAACATTTTACACATTAAACCATTGCCAGTCTCGATTATTTAGTAATGTGATCCTTTATCTTCTTTGTATAGAAAGTAAATGGGTACTTTTCCATGTTCACGCATATCAACATATTCGATATGGGTAATTAGCATCATTGCCGAAAAGCCGTACATAAGTTGAGGAATACCTTTAAATTTCCATAAAATTATTATATATTTCAGAACACATCAGTTTTTCTCCCGAGAGAGATAATCCGGAAGGGTCGGTTTCGATTTACCTAAATTTATCATTTTGATAAAATTTATGAGTTTATCATCAAGAGTCAAGTTTTGCAATGGCCGTTTTGTGCAATGATATTTCATGTACGGCCAGCAGCCAGTTCTTAAGATATGATAATTGGTGCCGCTGTCTAAGGTCCAATTGAAGTGGGAAAGACCGAATTGATCGTTGTAAACATCTCGATACTATCATAATTGAAATTTGAAGAAAGAAAAAGTTTCTTGAATCAAAACATGAAGAGAAATCCAAATTGTTCCGTATCAATACCCGTATGAAGTATGACGTCCACGGTGGTTCATTGCACTGTTTTAAATATTGAGTCAGTACGGCTGATACTTTTGGACGCATCTTATATTTGTTACGTAAATCTAACTAAACATAACCTTGCAATATTTTAGACATTTCTGATGCATTTTGTCAATTCAAAAACGTTGAGAAACTTCATTATATCTTCAATGTTTACACGCAACTTCATTCAATACATTCTCTACTAGCTCAATAAAAAAACATATTTACATCTGAGAAATCAAGAGGATGGATGTTTATTGAATTTTGTCAGAAAAAAAAAATAATAGGATGTAAATCATCTCTAATCAGTTGAATTCACTAGGCTTTTGATATCTTGGAGAATACTTCGATACTTTCGGAATTGATTCACATCGGCATCCAATTTAGCGCGCTGCTGCAAGTAGATTCGTTTTGGCATTTGAATATATTCTTCGCCTTTGTAAATAAATGTTGTTATATCTGGGTTGTCCACGGTGTTATCTAATTTATCTATGCTCTTCTCCTCTTCATCCATGGCACTTTTCTCCATTTTCTCCGTGTCGACAGTTTGATTTGATACAATTATGTTGTCGGCTGATGTGTGTAATTTTTGTCGTTTTGTTACATGATTCACGAATTCACTGGACACCAAACTCACACGATCCGATGTGATTTGTTCAACCTTTTTCACTCGAGCTCCAATTGGGCTATCGTAAGTTTTTTTAACAAACTTCACCATTTTATGTGGATCCATTTTGACTTTTGAATTGATATTTTGCATTTCTTCTTCGATCAAAGGTTCTTCCAATGTTTCAACATTTTCTTCGGTCCCATCCTCATTCTGGCGCATCATTTCAATCGTTTCGCTGTAAATGATATCATTTTCGTCATTTATTGGATCCAACAATATGTCGTCGCGTGATGTGTTCTTTTCCGAATTGTATTCTTCCTCATAGTTCTCATTCTCGTTCTTGTTAATATTTTCGTCGTACCTATACGGCAGGGCATTCGGCAGGAGAACCGTACGTCTGGGTGTTTTGCTTATGTAAATTGTACTGAAATGCTCTTCACAAAGGTACCTATTTTTCAAGTTTATGTCCCCACAACCGGCCATCCGTACCCAATGCTGACATTTTTCCACATCTTTCAACGGAAAACCAAAAAACGTAATTTTTGGAGAGAATGCACTTGAATTTCCACAGTTTCTATAAACACAATGTTTTGTATTCATATTTGTGCTGTAATATTTCACGAATTTCGTTTAATGCGAAAATATTTCTGTAATAATTAGATTTTAGTTGAAAAATTTTGACTGAATTCAGCCGAATGAATAAAAATTAACACTAATATGTGTATGAAAATATCAAATGAAGAAGTTTGAATGAAAGCTTTAAATTCGTTGACAAGCCGTTTTGTTGATGGTCGTTTAGACCATTTGTAGTCTGTATTATCGATAGTTGACACTTTTCATTATGATTTTGCTGTTTTACATCGCTATGAATTTAGATGTTGAATTAAATTATTTTTATAACTGTTAAAATGATTTTTAATGCCATTGAAATTGTTTGTATTTTATATTAAAACGAAAAAGTCATATCCAACAATGTCAATTTTAAAATATCAAAATCAAAACTGTCATCCAACCAATCGAAATTCTAATGTCAAACTATGTGACGATTCCATACGTATTATAATTTTACGTATTGTTGTTTTTTCTAATTATAACATTTTGAATACTATAGTCAACAATCAGCCAAGAACTTATCATACAAAAATTTATTCATCCAAATTCAAATCAAATCACCATGGAGTCTTCATTTGCACCGTTAAGTGAGGCATGTGCAAAGACACTATGGGACAAAACCTATGAGAAACGCAAAGTGGCAGCCGCTGAAATTGAAAAGTATGAACAACTATTTGTTTTCATTGAGTAATGATATTCAATCAAAATGATAATTCTCATTAATCCGCCTCTTGCAGAATGGTGATGGAGTTTAATTCGACCAAAAACTACAATCAAATCCGCAAATTGATCACTGTGCTTGGACAGGACTTCTCCACATCAAAAGATAACAATAAGCGAAAAGGCGGTTTACTTGGTTTAGCTGCAACCAGCATTGGTTTGGGAAAGGTTTAGATTATACCAATATTATTAAATAGATCAAATCTTATGATTCTTTACTCAATGTATTCCAGGATACTGATAAGTTTGTCGAGGAATTGGTGTCACCGGTTTTGAATTGCCTGCTCGATCCCGAAGTACGGGTTCGCCTGTTTGCCAGTGAATCTCTTTATAACATAGTTAAAGTAGCTCGTGGTTCCATCATTCCACTATTTCCTCGAATTTTTTCCGCTCTCAGTCGATTGGTTACAGGTGCGATTATAATCGTTAAATTTAACTATAGTTTATATTTTCATTTCAAATACATCATACTTATTGTACGATTCGACTTTAAAAATTAATTGATTCAAGACTCGGATGAAAATTGCAAAAATGGAAGCGAATTGCTAGACCGTTTGCTTAAAGTAAGAGTTTTAGAAAGTAACATTTTTAGTATTGTTCCAATTCTGATAACCATTCAACATGTTTCCAGGATATTGTGACGGAATCACCACAAACCTTCGATTTAGAAGCCTTCATTCCATTGCTGCGCGAACGAATTTATACGAAAAATTCATTTTCACGACAATTCATCATTTCGTGGATATCTGTATTAAACGCAGTACCTGAAATCAATATGATTACATATTTACCGGAAATTCTTGATGGCCTTTTTCAAATGCTTGACGATCAATGTGTAGAAATTCATACAACGTTAGTGTGATTAGCTTTTAACGAAATCGACCTATAACATTTAACGGTTCTTCTCTATAGATGTGACACACTCTTGTCGGAATTTTTGAAAGCAATCAAGAGCGATCCATCCAGTACGAAAATGTCCGATATGTGCAATATCTTGATAAATCATGCGCAATCAACGAATGCATTGATTCAATTTACGGCCATCGATTGGATCAGGGAGTTCGTTCAGTTATCAGGTCCTAAAATGTTGGAATTTGCTAGTGGTATATTCACAGCAATTCTACCATGTTTGGCATACGAAGGTGAATCAAGAAGAGGTACATAATATATCACCCTCACATCGTTTACTCTCATCTCTTTACATTTTCGTACGAATTTAATTCAAATCATAGATATAAAAAAAACTGCTCAGGCGGTGAACATCAATATGTTTGAGCTGATTTCCTCCAAAGAGGAAAAAGAAAGAGCTTTTCAGTTTCTGGACTTGGACTCAGTGATGAAAGTATTGCAACAATATTTGATACAAGGTTCAGTGGACACTAAGGTAGCTGTTTTACAATGGATTCATCATTTATTCACTCAAGCTGAAAATGAGGTACTTTCATCGTAAAATTGGCCACACACACATAAAAACCCTTCAAAATCCGATTGCTATTGTTCGTTTTCAGATGTCAACTCACGCCATCAGTCTCTACCCAGTATTGTTTGAGACTCTATCTAATAATTCTGACGAAGTAGTTATTCAAGGGTTGACAGTACTTGCTGAAATTGTAAACTGTACAAATAAGTCCAAAGGTACAGTAAAATGTTTATTCGAAATAACTGTAATGGTAAAAACTGAAGAAATTTTTTTTTTTACTGCTATCCAAATGAAGATGCTGACGCTAGCCACACTCACTATAAAAAGTTTTTGATCAGTTTGTTGAAACTGTTTGAGGACAAGCGGCCGCTACTGGAAAATCGTGGTGCTTTTATAATCAGGTATAGTTACAGTTCAGATAAGATAATGATAGATGAAACTAGTCGATTCAGTTATATTCTATAGCATCCAATATGTCCTAAACGCATATTTTCAATGTTCATAACATTGTGACATTATCGTAGCGAAAGCGGGTGGTGATCATAATGCCTCGGAAGGACAGCATGCTTCTTTTTTTTCTATTACCAAGATCGCTGGGGCGTTATGACCGTCACTCAACAGAACGAACGCAAGTATGTGTTAAAAGCTAGGGGCATTTATCTCTCAAATGATTCGCACGAATCTCATATCATACGAATAATTTTGTATTACATTGGACCTTACGAATCCCAGCGACAAAGTTCACAAATAAAGCGATTTGTCAAAGTCAAATTTCAAAAAGTATCTAAGTGTGCGAGAATACTTGTAACATTTGCCATGTGTAAATACGGGTTTCGTGGAAAATTTGTACGAATTAATTATTCGAATGAATTTAAATCGAGGGGGAAATCACTCTTTTCAATTACTTTTCATCGAAAAGTTTAGTTAGAGAAAAGTTAATTTGAAAAGTAATTACCAGAAAAGAAGTAATTGAAGAGGTAATATTTGCCATTTTGGATATAGTTTTCCTAACATATTTCGATTTTTTTCAGAAAAAGTGTTTTTCAACAAAATTCGATTTTGAATTTCTGGGGTTTTAAATTCGGATTTTGTTTAGTTTCTCACGAAGAATTTTGTGGTGGTTTCAGTTTGAAGCTTCGATTGAGCATTTTGAAAAATTAACCCAAAAATGCTAGTTAATAAGATAACCGATCTTATTAACATATTAATAACATATTTTCGTTATTAACCTGGCAAATTTTTCAAAACGACTCATCATAAATGAAAACTTAAACCACCATAAAATTCTTCATGGAAAACTGAACAAAATTCAATTCCAAAACCTCAAAATTTCAAAATCGAATTTTGTTAAAAACACTTTTTCTGAAAAAAATCGAATCATGTAAGGAAAACATTAATTTTGGATGTAATTTTTGATCAAAAATTACTTTTGCAATTACTTTTTCTCTAACTATTACTTTTCAGTGAAAAGAGCGATTTTCCCCTCAAATTATATTTAAAAATGTATAAATTTTCAAAATATTCGTGGCGAATCCAATAATATGTCAGAGATAAATGCCCCTAGGTTAAAACTGTATTTTACCGCTCTTTGTTTAATTCTCGAAATTGTAATGGTAATAATAAAGCGATGCTGAGAGTAAGCGTTTCGAACACATTGATAGGAACCAACCTTGCTTATAATTCGAATTCTTACAATTTTGTATTTTGTTTTTTCAGCCAACTCTGTATTTTATTGAATGCGGAAGTAATTTATCGTATTTTTGCGGAAATTATCTTCGAAGAAACCACTAATTTAAAATTCGCTTCAACAATGGTACGAACTCTCAATACAATTTTGTTGACAACATCTGAATTATTCGAATTACGTGTGCATCTGAAAGACATAACAAATGAGGTACCATCAAATAAATACGAGATAAAAAGAAATATTCAATCTTTTGAATTCATATACTCACGCAAAAAATGCTAATCTTATCCATTTCAGAAATCTGCTTCCTTATTCCAGTGCCTTTATATGTCTTGGGTAAGGATATAGTTAATGAAAAAATTACAATTCTAATTCGTTTTGTAAATTAGTAACAATTCATTTTCATAATTTCCACTTCATTTTTATTTATTGTTTCAGGCCCATTGTCCCGTGTCAACATTATCACTGTGTTTACTGGCCCAATGCTATCAACATGTATCGCAATTAGTCGTTTTATTGTATGCATTTCCTTTGAAATATTTGTGTTAATTTCAAATATCAATTTGATCATTTATTTTCATCTCCATTTTTGGCAGTGGTGATATCGAGGTAACTGTTGAGTTTCTTATTGAAATGGATAAATTAGTGCAGCTCATGGAATCACCAATATTCGCATGTGAGAATAATTCTTTAATATACGAATGAAATTTGAAGCGCCTGAATTTTAAATCTCACATTTTAGCGTTACGCTTAAGTTTGGTATCACAAAATACAGCCGAGGCTCAATACTTATCTCATGCTCTGTTCGGTATATTGATGCTATTACCACAAACTGAAGCATTTACATTGCTGAAAAATCGTCTCCAATGTATTCCACATTCACAGGCATTTCAACATAATCCGTAAGCAAATCAGTCTACCTTTTAAAATCATCAAATGGTTGCCGAATTGAAAAAAAAATGAGATTAAATACTTATTATTATTCATTTTCAGTGATATCAGCAAATTGGCAGAATACAGAAGTGGCATAGATTTTACAACACTTTTCAAGCATTTTCAAAGCGTACAGAAGAGCCATCATGAATATCGTAACAATCAACGAAAACGAAATTTCTCTGCTTCCGAACGCCATAATATGAATAATTGAAATCCAAATATACTTTTTCAAAACTATTTATTTTGCTGAAAATGCTAGGGGAATATCACGCTTGAATTATTTCAAATATTTCAAAAAAATCCAATTTATCTCTAAGAATCTGTCGTATGAAATATGGTGGATATTTGTGAATACGGCGGAATATTGTGGATTTTTGTGATTATGAATGATATTTAAATGTATTTATTCGGATTTAATGCAAAAAATCTCAAATATCCCCAAAATCCACAAAAATCTGATTCATTTATTCGAAATATTCGAAAATATGTCATACAATTGATGTTTATTTCAAATATCTCAAATATCGCACAAGATTCAGGAGTGTGATATTCCCTTAGTGAAATTGTGCCCAACTTAACGATATTGTTTATGTTTTTTCCTTCCCTGCGCTGTGCAAACACCATAATTAACTAAAGAAAGAAGATTTCATTTAATACACATCAATATAAGCTGGATAAACATAAAGGGATGTTTTAGCACAAGCACATGGACCGAAAAGTGGGAGAAATTCCCGTGATTTATTCTTTGAAATATATTGTTTAAATGCCCGAAAGAGTACCACCATCTTTTGAAAAGGCTATTACAATCGGATGAAAAACTATTAGATTGCTAAATGTTATTCCTATGTGAATCAATTGTCTTATATTCAAAATTTTCGAAAAATTGTGTGTCAAAAATAATAAAACCTTTTTTTCTCTCTCAAACCAAACTTTATTGAAATCGTAATTATCTATATCTGTTATTCTCTTGAATAAAACGCGGCAAACGCGGCGAAATTTCGAAAGTATTTTTCTAAATCTTATCCATGATTTAGATAGGAATGCGTTGTACCATAATCAATAAAATAAAGCCAATGTTTGATTTGCAAAAAATATTCGCAGTCACCGTCCGGCGTTAATATTAGTCTTTCATCATTTTCTCTAGGCGGAGTAACAGAGTATAAAACATATTCTCATACTCACTCCCATACAAACGCAAAATTAATGAGTATGAGTGTATATGCTCGCAAAAACGCTCACCTGTAAATCAATTCGTCAAACTTTTCTGGGAAAGCAACGTTATTGTTCAAGTGAAATTTTCTTTAAATGCTATAAGAATCGTTAACCCCAGGTCATACAATCCAATTCATTGTTATATCATATGATAGGTATTGTCAATGCGCATCTTTTGATATAGAACATTTATGGTGCGTGACCCACCCGGGAAAATTGTTGACCACCATTTTTTCGAAGCAAACCGACGCACCTGTATTTTCACCGTATTTCAAGTCAATTATCTCAAAATTAAGTAATCAAGCAAAATATGTCATATTTTACGAAGAAGAATAGCATTCCCTCGTTTCCCAGATTTATGCTTGAATTTCAAACCATTTTCAATGAAAAAAACAGGTTAAATACCAGAAGCGCACAAATACCAACAAAATAGAACAGAAAAAACAAAAATAATCTCTTCGAAATTCAAATTCACAAAGTCCAATGAGTAGAATACAAAAAGATTATTTCCACGCAATGGTGCGCGACATCAATTATGAAAAATGATTTCCTTCAATTGAGAAAATTCGAATTTTATTGAAAAAATCGAAATGTTGTGAACAAGCAAAATCAAGTCACGGATGGCCAAAAACACATTCGTCGCTCAATAGAATCTGTGACAAACTGATGACCCATGAAAAAAAAAATTTAGACTAGGCCTGCAGTTGTATTTTGCCGAACTTAGACCACGGTCCAAACTGGGCGGCAGCTTTGATATTTCACACCACGTAGATCAGGTCTACAGTCATTTCGCGCAAAAAAGTTGTCTACATTTATTTCATGGGGATAACAAGCTACACTGAACAATTTGAAGGATGAAATGGTAAAACTAGCGATATTTATAACACTAGATACTGGGCCTTGCCGTTTTTGAGATATCTTGATTACGTGGAATATCCCCGTTCTTCCCTAATAACCATTTCTTTGAGAAAAGTTTTACAGTACATTTTTTGCGCACAGAATCTTTTATTTATGGATAGTAGGAGTTAAATCAAATTGGTTTGTTTGCGTACACAGTATTTGTGTTCCCAGATTTGTGTTTGAATTAAATTAACACTAAATTGCGAATTAACTTTCAAGTAAAAAACGATTCTTTGTTACATCTATATTTCTTTTTGGAGTTCAACTGAGAATAAGTTGTTTATTTTACTGCTCGTAAATGCCCTTGAAACAGAAGGTCTTAGAAGTTATGTTTTTGTCCAATACATTAATTTTGGCAATAATTTTTTGTTAATTCTGCCGTGCATTAAGATTGATACATTGAGTCTGTGAATAAAGTGGTACAAGTGGTAATTTTCATTGACAAAAAATTAATCGATAGGAATTTTTCATGTTATGACTTTTGGCATATTTTTCTACAAAACGGTGACTCAATGCATTCTTTTGTTTTTTCACTTGTCTTCTTGAACTTATGTAACCGTTGTTGTAAGCAAATTTTGTGGTTTTAGTCTAAATGTAGTGCAATTCTAATTTGTTTTTTGTTTGATAATTTTTCTCTGTCTTTTCATCTCTTTTTTCCTAATATACCGATTATAAATGGATTTGTTGTCTTCGATTTCTGCATTTTGTTTGGTGATATTTAGGAGAATAAAGTATATTCGAAAAATATATTCGATCCATTTAACGGAAATGTGGGAAATCAATCGGCGTGCCACTCTTAATTTATCAAACTGGATGCATGTTCGATAGCTAGACTATAAGTAATGTTTGCTTGGGAATATCTGACTCTTAATCCCTGCTTCAAGGTTTCTGTTAGTTTTTTTTTTTCTCTTTGTTATTCATTTACTGTGGGTTATTGTTCTTGATGGGTTTACACATATTCAATTCTTAAATCTAAAAAAAGTGTTGTTGTTTGTTTCTTGTTGTTACATAACGTAGCAGTGTCCGCTTAGTCATCCATGCTTTCATTTCTGTCTGGAGAGCCCCCTGAACCTCCATTATTTTTTGGGGAGCTCGATCTTGAGTGATGTCTATCTTTGGAGCCTTTCGACAATGAACGGTCACGAGAATCGCGAGAATCACCGCGTTTGTGTGATTTGGAGCGAGAGCGAGAGCGTGAGTCACGGCTGTGACTGCGGCTCTTTGATTTTGATTTGGACAGATCGCGGTTGCTACAAGAAAAAAAAGGGAAAACAACCAAATACATTAATATAAGTACTATATCTATTTGTTTTTTTTTCAGTTTTTTTTTTTTCATCAGACGTGGATTAGAAATAACTGAAACTAGATACTAATTGTGTTTGGCAATGCTGTAGAACATTAGTAATACTACAACTTTGCTGAATGCAATTTTCTGCTATTTTTATATAATTACTTTGACTTCGAGCGACTGCGACTTTTTGGCGACTTTGATTTGGAACGTCCTCCACGGGACTTGCTCCGACTACGTGGGCTGCGTGAGCGGCTTGATGAACGACGACGACGTGATCTTGAACGGCTGCGGCTACGACTCGAGCGACTCGATGAACGAGATCTTCCACGGCCACCTGACGAATTATAACGATTTTTTATCAGTAAATTTTAATTCAGATAAATTAAAACCATCAATACTTACTACGTCCCCCACGACGATCTTCTACCAAACGAATACGACGACCATTCAATTCAGTATCATCCAGTTTCTCAATAGCGGTTTTCATATCGGACAAAGATGCAAATTCAACAACACTTCAAAATAAAAAGAAAAAATGGAGAATTCCAATAACATATTATGACTAAAACAAGAATATTATTTTGTTAGGCTTACCCTTCGTTACGCCGTTGCTTATGTGCATCAGCATACGTAACTTCACCAGCTTGACGCATGTAATCTTTAAGATCCTGAATAAAATGAAGAAATATTTATTAAATTCTTGACATCATGATTCAAACGAATTACAAATTTGAACGCATTTATTGGAAAATATCTCAGTGAAATGTTCGATAAGCCGATATATAAAACTAATAACATCGTTTGTATCATAAAATTGAAGTCAATACATGACATTACATGAAATTAGTGTCGATTGGGAGCTGCGTGCTGCGTGTTTGAAGCAGAAAACACTTATGAACGGTTCCAATGGGTTCCTAGCAAGCTCTGACGACGACTTCACCGTTAGCACGTTAACTTTGGTTTAAAGTGGCCGACCCTACGATTTTCTATTCGCCGCATGCCGTCAACAAATGGGAAACCTTCTACGGATGAACATCCTTCTCATCATTTATCAACAGTTTAGTGAATATCTCTCTGTTTGTCTGTCTGTCTGTCTGATCACTTCCTCTCACACACATTCTGTCTGTCTCTCTTTCTTTCTGTTTGTTTATGCCTCATTTATAGCCTTTCTTCCTGTTTATCATCCCAGAACCGGTCATAAGTATTAGATCTGCTATTTAATTGGTCAAATAAAACCAATTTGAACATGCGACGCAGCTTAATATGTTCCAATAACTGCATTTGCCAAATGAATACAAAAATCACATGAAATGGGTGGTCTAAGTGTATATATATATATATATAATATATATATAATGAATATATATATATATGTATATATATTTAAGCTCCTTACATATGTACACTGTATTCAAAAAAATATTTTAATTTTTACACAAAAATGTTCAGCTTGTAATTTTAATTTCGACCATTACCTTGTGGGCCGCTATTCGCATAACCATTTTGAAATATTTTGATATATGTAATTTTGCACATCTGTTGGCCACACCACACGTACAAAAGGGGGTTGATACATGTTTGAAAACTGGTCCGAGATGGATCATTTTACTTCAACTTCAACTAACTAGTACTTCGAGTTCTATACTTTGGCTTGGCTTGGCTTGGTTTGGCTTGGCTTGGCTTGGCTTGGCTTGGCTTGGCATGGTTTGGTTTACATTATATATTACATTTGGTCAGAGAGAGTGAGCCGGCCAGCTCTGTGATTCTTGTTTGTACTGCTTGCGCTATGATCTATACATGAAATGTCATCCGTACATAAAACACACACAATGCCCACGGGTCGTTGCATTCTGTGTGACAAATGGGATGATTTGGTTAACGGGATCTGAGTAAGTTTGCTCAACTTTTGTTTTGAACGCGCATTTTTTTTTTCATTGAATGTTCGAACCAGTATACCGTAGACCGTGCAGTAGTTAGTAGTAGTAGTGGTGGTAGTAGTGGTAGCAGTAGTAGAAGAGAAGTTCTTAATCATAGCGTTTCGAGCGGATCGGTTTGATTCGAGTGTATTCGATATGGTTCCAAGTCGACACCACAGTTCTCAATTTTCGCACACTGTATCGTATTCCTATTTCAGAGGCATTTGCACACAAGGTAGGTAAGGCATAAGCTTGACATAGAGCGATGATGTTCAGAGTTCAACAGTTCGAGATCGATCGTGCCGATATCACCCGGAATATGTTCGTTAGCGGAAAGAAAGACCCTATATTCGAATACGATTTTATAACACACGTCTGATATGCGATCTACGTTTGGACATGTTCTGTTTTGTTCTCTATGTATGTGTGTGAAGCATCATCAACGTCTCTTTGTCGCTCAATCACTCATTGGAACACCAGTCTCATTGTGTATCGTCATCGACCCTCTTTTTTAGGAGGCTTTCTTCGAAAAAATATCAAATATTTTTGTTTACTAATTTGTTTTTTTTTTATAATTAGACTTAATGGGTTTTATTTAATTTAATTAATTACTGCGATATCTGTACTGAGTTTCTTTCTTTAAATATTTATTTTATCTCAACTCTGTTTCTCTGTTATTTCGGAAAAAATAAGAATAGCCGCGCATTTAACCTAAATTCACTTGGCAAAAAGTTTGTCCTGACAAATTTAAGGTTTAAATATAAACAATCATGAAAAAAAGACTATGGAAAAAAATCTTGTGAAATTCAAAACATAGAAACGAGAACAAAAAACGACCACTGAAATGATTTCGGAAACGGGGCTAAAAAGATTTGCTTTTCACTCGATCGAAAGCCTCACTTAAACGATGTTTCCTTTTGAAAGTACATTTCATCAACCCTGCACATTCGTGTGGTTTTTTCATCCATTCATCTGAATACTTGTATTTAGTTGTTGTTGGTTTTACTTCGACTTTCCTTTCTTTTTTTTTCGAATCGAACTAAATAAGCTATATAAAGTGACATTGGACAGCTACACATATTTACAAAGCTCGATGAATCCTACACATATCGCATTATTTGGTGAGAGACATCTCCATTACGGTTGAACATACTACATCTTATACCATTTAATGACATTGGTTCGAAAATGAAACAGGGGCCTATACAAAGGATTACGCTTTGTTCATTCATTTGCAATAGTATTTTTGTCATGAAAAGTGTATTTTTCGTCATGGAAAGAAAATTGAATAGGATCAATACTCTTTGGACGGAGACGTCCGAAGTAATGGAAATTTACTGAGTACTATGCTGAGTGCAGATGAAAGTGAATTGAAATGAATTGTTTGATTGATTAGTTTAAATGAAATTCTTCGTTTTATTCTCTCAGCGTATTCACTATGCGGCAAAGTTCCTTGAGAATTCTATCTTATCTCTATTTTTTTGCAACTGGTAGATAATATACACTCAAGTTATAATGTTTCGTGAATTTCCTGAATATCCCTCCATAAAGACAAATTGCAAGAAAAACTAAAAATAAAACTAAATATCTAACAAAAACGAAACAAACAAACAAAAAACGAAACAAAAATAAAAACGATTTAATGTCATTTTCTACATACCTGCCAACTAACACGGCTTGACAAATTCTCAACAATCAAACGGTATTCTGTACGCAATGGTGGTCCATATCGTGATGAGCTCCTGGAATTTTTTGATCTTGTTTATATTTGAAAGTCTAGTACTGTTCAACTTAATATTTAAACTTAAAACTAAGCAAGTCCGAACAAAAAAAAAAACAAAAAAAAATACAGAATAATTTTGAAGAGAGTTTAAACCAAAAAATAACCACTAAAATTCAGGCCAAACGACTCCTTTGAAGTGAAACTTTGGGCCTTTGTAGTTAATTGTTTGGTTTTCAAAGAAAAAAGTTATGCCAATTTCAGAATGTACTTACTTATCGTTATTGTAACGACCGCCACCACGGCGGCTACTATAACGATCGCTATCATTGTATCGATCTCTGTGACTTCCTCTTGCTTGACCACGAGCCGGTTCAACAACCACCCTGTAGAAATGCCAGAAAATACGTTATAGTAAACTCATATTATATGAACATATTTACAAAACTCATTACGATGCTTACCTTTCACCCAGTAACTCTTTCCCATTTAACTCGTAAACAGCATCATCTGCATCACGATAATCTTCAAATTCCTATTGCAGATACAATCAAATCAATTTGTTTTATATTTTCCATTTCATATCTTAGTTATGCATGAAAAGTAAATATTAAATTATGAAAGTATTTACCACAAAACCATATCCATTTTTAATTAGAATGTCACGGGTTCGTCCATAGCCTTTGAAAAATCGTTCCAAGTCACGTTCCCGAACTCCATACGGCAATCCACCAACATACACTCTTGAGCCAACCATTTTTATGGAATATCACTGTTTTTGGCAACAACAAAAAAAAAAAGTTTGAACAAATTAACCTAAATGCGACTGAATCAATTTTTTCCGCTTCAAGCAAAAGATTTAGCATAAAAATGTCAATAAAATCATGGATAAAATAATGAAAAATTTAGAATATCATTTTACAAATGGCGTCTTGTAGGGAAAATCAATGTACTGTATGGTGAATAAGTTTGCGTCGTTTGTAATGTTAGTAATGGCGGTATATACGGGGTTGCCGCTACATTTCTAATTACAAAATATGTCTTGAATATTTTCCTAATTATCGAAAGAAATAATTATAAAAATCACTCACACTGTATAGTTTCTAATGAAAATAATGCGTTGCAAACAATGAACAATTTGAATTTAAGTTATTCAATATGCGTCTTTAGTTGAATTTTTTGGAAAAATGAACTATGTCTCACTTGCACGAGAAAACAACGAGTGTGTGAGCCGAATGAATATAAGGATGTAGCTAAGAAGCCATGTCGGTTGAAAACGTGATTCACCACAGCGCCAAATCGATGTCAAATATGGTAACACTAGTTGTGCCTCAGTCGATTTCGAAACCAATTTTTCGTAATTTCACACGTTTATTGTCCATCAAGAACAATTTTTTTTTTCCAAAGAATTTACATCATTTGCTGAATGAAATATGTTGTAATGATTATTAACTTTTTAATTATCGAATTATCAAGGGTAATGAGGTTTTTCTCTATCAAATATTTGTCTTGATTTGCTATAGGAAAAACCGATATTTTCGAAATTCATCCAATTCGAAAATTATACAAACAATACGCAAGCAGATGAGTATATTATTGTATGACCATCGTTCGAATAAACAATTCCGATTTATGTGTACGTCATACTAGTGAGATATATAATAGTAGCTTAGTAATTTGACAGAATCGCTCTATTCGTTTATTTTCTATACTACTGAATAAGTGACTGGATCGTACACAGATAGAGAGTGAGAGAAAGGGAAAATTGTCGTCAAAGAAAATTGATTGGAGCAGAAAACTTTGTGGCTGTGAAGTGCGGTGACGAATTGGTTTTATTTTCGTTTACTTTTTATCTGTTTGGTTTGTCTTGTAATATAACGGCAAAAATAAAATATGTTTAGTTTCCTTCGTCGCGAAAAAGTTCAACAGGAGGTAGTTGAAAATGTTGTTAACGAATTGAAGAAAATTTATCGCAGCAAATTGCTGCCGCTGGAAGAGCACTATCAGTTTCATGAATTTCATTCTCCGAAACTCGAAGACCCCGATTTTGATGCAAAACCAATGATATTGCTAGTGGGACAATATTCAACGGGGAAAACCACATTCATAAGGTATTTGTTGGAACGGGATTTTCCAGGCATTCGCATTGGGCCTGAGCCGACGACAGATCGTTTTATTGCTGTCATGTACGATGACAAAGAGGGCGTAATACCTGGAAATGCACTTGTTGTCGATCCTAAACGACAATTTCGGCCGCTTTCGAAATATGGAAATGCATTTTTGAATCGACTACAATGTTCGACAGTAAATTCACCCGTGCTGCAGGCGATCTCAATTGTCGACACCCCAGGTATTTTATCTGGTGAAAAACAACGTATTGACCGTGGTTACGATTTTACGGGCGTATTGGAATGGTTTGCTGAACGTGTCGATCGCATTATCTTATTGTTCGATGCACACAAATTAGATATTTCGGATGAATTTCGCCGCTCAATCGAAGCGCTGAAAGGACACGATGATAAAATTCGGATTATTCTGAATAAGGCTGACATGATTGATCATCAACAGGTTGTTAAGAAATTATGAAGAAAATGTTGAAAGTTTTTTTTTTTTAATTAAAAATAATTAATTTCCTACAGTTAATGCGTGTGTACGGTGCTCTTATGTGGTCACTTGGTAAAGTGTTGCAAACACCAGAAGTAGCACGAGTGTATATTGGTTCATTTTGGGATCAGCCACTCCGGTACGATGTTAATCGTCGACTGTTCGAAGACGAAGAACAGGATCTTTTCAGAGATTTGCAATCGTTGCCAAGAAACGCTGCCCTACGTAAGCTCAATGATCTTATAAAGCGGGCACGTTTGGCCAAGGTACATGCCTACATTGTATCAGAATTGCGCAAAGAAATGCCTTCGGTGTTTGGTAAAGATGGTAAGAAGAAGGACCTCATCAAAAATTTGGGGCAAATCTATGAGAAAATTCAACGTGAACATCAAATATCACCCGGTGATTTTCCTGATTTGAAGAAAATGCAAGAACTGTTGCAACATCAAGATTTCACAAAATTTCATTCACTCAAACCAAATTTATTAGAGGTAGTCGATCAAATGCTTGCCAAAGATATTGCTCGGCTTATGGAAATGATTCCTCACGAAGAGCAAAATTTGGTGGCTGAAATAGCGGTTAAAGGTATGTGTATATTATAAAATTTTTACAACTTCAAGTCTCATCTTATTTGCCATTATTTTGACGTTGAGGTGCATGATCATTCAAAAGTTATCCAATCATATGAGTCATTCTAAAAAATGATAGAATCTTCGTTTCGTAAGCAGTATCATGTTGTGTTATTGAAGTTACTCCGTATTGTTCACCGTTCATTGTTATGCCATTTTTATTTAGTGGCGAATGAGGCAAGCCACCAGGCCCACGGCCATACGAACACACTCTGGCTTTAGACAAGATAAATTGAGCTTTCAAAAACTGATTCCCTAGAATTGAGTGTAAGAAATGAAATCTTGTCTTCCGGAAGCATCAAGTTCTTAAAGCGGCACTGGTTTATTGTACATTGTACACGTTCAATGCCACATATAGTCGGTTGAATATGATAAGAGTATTCGATTTTAGGCGCGAATGAAATATGTGTAGCTTTAAAAGTATCTCGTGCTTGTGTATTATTTATTACATATGTGTTTTGTAATGCTTGCTTCTGTTAAAAAAAAAATGTGATAAATGTGAAATTGGGTCTTGATAATGCCATTCTCTACTAGTTCATGTATTCAAACAGTACACGTACGGTATTCTAAGACTTTATTTCCACTCGAGTCACATGCATGACATTCCTATTAAGGCCCGTTATATTAGCCCAACGAATTACTGCATAGTACATAGAGACTAATTTCTTCCATTCTATTTGTGCACATATGAATCACGTGCACAAGAAACCAGTGGAGACTAGCCATTGAATCAAAACGATGTAATCGCTTTCAAATGATAAACGATAGATTTATGGTCAATGTATTTTATTGACTTACATAGTGACATCATTAAAGTTTTTGCTCATTAGGAGCGTCGGCAGGTTTTTTTTCTATTGGTTTCATATAATGGGAATGAAATTGAGTGCAAAACTACCGAAATATGATTTCAATGACTCATATGGAATTGTTGATTTGTTTCATTTTAGTTACCTCTTATACTGTCGACACACCACTGTACATTCAGTCATTCTATTTTGGTATTGGTGCAATTAGCAAACAGATCCGTATATAGCTTTGATAAAAATTTAACACGAAGAATTTACATATACTATATACTTAAAATGGGTTTGGATAAACTGTATTAAATATGGTCGACAAAAAATGCTCCTTCTTACATGACATCCATTAAATATACGTCGCTTACTAATGTGTTCGTCGATTTATTATTTTTGAGTTTGATATATTTGGTAAAACAATTGACAAATATTATTTCATTCAATCATAAACATTTCGGTGCTTCCATTCATATATATATATATATATATATATCCGTAGCAAACGTGAATAGTATATGCTCACATAGGTCAATCAAAAGGGTACAGAAGAAATATTTTTACCTGCGCCAACATTTCTATTTGCAATTATTTATGGTTCAGGAGAAGGTTATCGCACTTATCTGCTCTAATTTGAGTCGCGTTTCTCACATTTGGTTTTTAGGTTTCATTGTTCCAATGTATATTTATGATTCGAGACAGTTCGTTCTTACGTTGCCTCCCCCCCCCCCCCCAGTAAAATACAAACCCATCAATATTTTATAAACTTTCGCTTAGTTCGTCAATTCAAATGGCTTACATAGCAGTATTTATAGAATTAAACATAGTCGTTTGTTAGTCATCAATATCTTCGTGATTAATTAGTAACGATGTAATTTGAACGTCTCCATCTCAAATGGCTCCAGTGACAAAGTTTGTCAAAGCAAAAGTAATTAAATGCAATTCAAGTGAATTACCAGAGAATTAAGAGCCTTAGAAAGCCAACTTTCCAATTTTATTCATAATAAGATTAAAATATATTTGTACAATTCTTCATATTGTTTGATAATCTGACTTGACTAATAAAATGCACCCAATCCGCTGTTTAGGTTGATATTAAGACAATAAATATTGACAATGTAAATTACTATCTTGTTTTATATTTAAATAAGATACTGTAGTACACAATAACTATTGAGATCTTATTTTGACTATGAAATGGCCGCATCGCACGGACCTATCAAAACATTAAATCGATATCGATTATTGATGATTTTAGAGTGATTGTTTCATGATTGATGAAAATGGATCAATGTTTTTTTTTTCTCAATTCAAATTTCATGCAAGTGTTAGCAAATACTTTATATTCAACATGAAATGCATACGGAATGAAGGTTAATTATTGTCTGTGTCAATAAAAATCAACGACCCATGATCTTGTTCCGGTCCGGTTTTATAGTTGAGATTTCGTAATTTATTTTTTTCACGAATTGTGACTATTCTAGGTATGTTCCAATGCATTCGCTTTGCCTAAACGATACATCATATCGAATGGATCTAAAGTGCACAGCTATTAAAGGCAATGATATGTCTCAGTTTGATGCATTCATAAATTGAAGTATTTTTAGTTATGACTATTTAATTTTATCAATAAAACTTGTCAGTTAAAAATGCTCGTCAGTATTTGAGATACAGGATGACTCATTGACAGAATTGTACCGCAACGAAAAAAAAATAGTTACATAAAGCTTTTTGAGCTGCAATTACTATTCAAAAAATAAGTTGAATTGTAGTACGAATGATAATATTTTTCGAATATAACTGAAAATGAAATGAACTGTTGAAGCAAAATTGAAGTACTTTTTTTGTCAGATTCAGATTATCATTTGGATTGTACAAAAAGTGTTTGATCACAGCAATTGTGCTGGCATGAGCAAAAGAGCGTGCATAATTACATAATGATAACGTTTGAATACGGCGATTATTGATTAACATCGTATATATACATCGCGTATATGTACTTGTACACCATATATTTTTTTTTATTCGTTGTTACTACTAAATAAAGCAGCATTCAAGCACAACTCGACATGATATCTAAGTACGGCCAGGAATCAATTTTATATTCGAAATGTGTGCAATATCATGAGATATCAAGTCTTTCATGTCAATTTACACTTTTAGCGTAAATATTTCCGGAAGAATATAATTTTTTAAGATTTGAGTGATCACGTGATCGTAATACATTTTTTTAATGTATTTTTTTATTTTCCGTCTAATTGGTCCCATTGATGCTGTGAAAATAATATTGAACTTCAATTCCGCTATCATAATTTCAATAGAAACTTTAAAAATTTCTTAATTTATGAAAATATAGATTAAGATATGCTTTTCAATTGTATAATATGTTTTAATGTCCGAAAGGTGGTGCCTTTGAGGGTGTGGTCGATGACGTTGTATCACCATTCGGGTACAAGCGAGGCGAAGGTATCGATGCTGGCTTCGGAGAGCACGAATGGATCTGTAATCGAGACCGTGGCCGCACTGACCCAATATTTGAAACATTAAATCCAGTCGATGGCAAAATTACTGGCGCAGGTAATCCATTTTGATTCATTTCACTTCAATGTTGCAATGAACAGTTATTACTGCTGTTTTCACTTTGGCCTAATTGATTGTTGTTTTTTCTTCCATGTGCAGCGGCTAAAACGGAATTGATTAAATCGAAATTGCCAAATTCAGTTTTGAGCAAGATTTGGAAGTTGGCTGATTACAATGCCGATGGTAAGCCGAATCAATATTTAATTTTTATAATTTTCAATGGACAATTTTATTCGATTTTTTGTTTTTTTTTTTTTTTAATTCAGGTTTCTTGGATGTGGAAGAGTTCGCATTGGCGATGCACTTAATAAATGTAAAGTTGGATGGAAATGAATTGCCGAACGCGTTGCCTGAACACTTGATTCCACCCACCCAAAGACTCAATGGTGTTGATTAAATGATTAAGACGGCAGAAATAAAATGCTTTTGGTGCTAATGTGTAACAAACGATTTTAAACCGACCATCTAAACAATAATAAGTTCACATTGTATCGTAAACTATCACACAACCTAGAAAAGCGTGTGCATAAATCTATCAATGACATTTCAACAGCAAATCGAAACAAAATCACCAAAAAATTTACAACACACACATCGATTGATTCAGATTTTGGACTCGATTTGAAGATTTTGTATTTTTTTATAAAAATATTTCACTACATAAAATGGTTTAGTTCTTACAAACTAAGGCATTCGCTTATGTATTCTGAATTGCGATAATTTTTGAATTTTGCTGTTGTTTAATCAACTTTAAAGAACACATTTACAATAAACGTTTCCAAATATTTATGAAGATTGATTTGCTTATTATGAAAAAATTCAATTTTTCCCAGAGGGAGAGAGAGAGAGAGAGAGAGAGAGAGAGAGAGAGAGAAAGAAAGGAAGGAAGAAAGAGCGGAAGAAAAGAATAATTCAGAAATTTAAAGAAAAAAAGGATTTGAGCTCATTTTTATTTCATTGCATATTATTTATGTATTGTTCATTATTAAGAAATCCAGAAGAAAATAAAAACGAGAATATTTCCCGAATGAACACAATAGGCTTCGATGAAAGCCTAAATTCGTTCCATCACGCTTTCATAAGTTCTATGCACATTTTAAATACTGAACGCCTAGGCGTTGATTGCTACGAATGCAGGAAAGTGAGAATAGCAATGAACGCCCGGGCGTTCAGTATTTAAAATGTGCATAGAACTTATGAAAGCGTGATGGAACGAATTTAGGCTTTCATCGAAGCCTATTGTTTTCACTCGGGTTATTCCCATTTTTATTATATGTTTACTGTATAGTATAGTAGTTATAAATTTAGTTTCTTTTTTCCTTTTTCCTTTTTGCTAGTGCGCTTATTTTTATTTATGAAATATTCCTATTTGAATTAAATTTGATTCACATTTATGACAACAACAACAACAGCAACAAAAATATAAAGTATTTGAAAAAATAAATTGAGAGAAAAAAGAACGGAATAGAATTTTATTTTCGGATTCCGATGCTGTATGATGAGACAAGAATAAAATCAACAAAAATAAATATAAATATATTGTTCTCATATCTCATCATTTGTCTGATTTGAATCTTAATAGATTGTACTACGAGAATCAATTTGGTTATTGCTAGCGCTGTACGACTCAGTTTCTCAAATCTTTAAAAATGAATTACAAAAACCAAAACAAACTGCATTAAAACCTTTTCTAGGCAAAAGAAAACAAAAGGCTCGCTATTGTTTGGTTTTTAGAGCCGTGAATTTAAAAAATGGTGAATAAATTGGAAAATACGGACGGACGGACGGACATATTTTGAATTTTATATTGATGGATGATAAAAACAATGCGCGAACTGTGTATTGCACATAACGTAAATCTTAATATATATTGCACATAACTCTGCGTTACCAGTGTGCAACATTAGACAACACTACTCACAAGTAATTAAAGTAATGTGTTAGTAGCGGGACACTCGGTCATATGAGTTCGAAACTAACTCTCTATTCAAATCCATGAAGTCAACTGGTACTATGTTCAATTTATTTTATCCGGTCATTACCATTAAAAATGTTGCCTACAAACATGTCTACGATACTGCATATATTAGTCAAGGAAACAGCTTTATCAGCAAATTGTGTCATATATCGGTCAACGCACATTCAAAAACTATAAATTACAATTAGGTATGTGACATGTCTTTGGTCGTTATTCACTCATGTGATCATTTTCATTCGCTGGTTTACTAATGCAGTGGCGATAATGAATATTTGCTTTAATATATATGCTTTTGAAATATCACTCCGATGACCTTCAAACAAAATTACTGTTAAGGCACTATTTCCAAGGCACACGACTGTAATCGTGTACGATTCTGAATCGGTGAATGATTCTTCTTATCGTGTTTGATTGCTTTTATATAAAAACAAATCGTGCACGGTCGCATATTTGATATGTCCGAGAAAACGATCATTGGAGGATTTCGATTCAGAAGAATCTTATACGATTATATTTGTGTGCCTTGGAAATAGTGCCTTTAGAATTCAGCATAATCCCGTAGACTGAATAAGAGCTGATGTGATGATTCTAAATTACACACACCAAAGTGATGAATACAGAATACATGCCATCGCTGTTTCTTTTCTTAAAGCTAATACGAAACTCGTAACTTATCCATCGAAATTAGATTTTGAGAAAAAATGCTTCGTTTCTGCATTGAAAATAATTTTTTTTTGGCATTTAATTTCAAACATGTGCATGTTTACTCATGGGCGGAGAAAAATTGAGCCTCTATTGACGTTTGACGTACGTTTGTTGGCTCTAGCGTTGTTATGGTAACTCGATGTAAACAACAATAACAATACTCAAGGAACGTCTAAACCGCATCGTTCAATATTATTTCAGCATGAATAATATTTTACGTTTTGTGGAAAATTGAAAATTGTCAAGGAATCAGTATGGCAGACAGTGTAAATGGACGCTATAAGTATTTGCAGAAAATTGGCGAAGGTGTCCATGGAATGGTATTGAAGGCACAAGATCTTACAATTGGAAAAGTGGTGGCCATTAAAAAAGTATCACTTCGGACAAAACACGGTGAAATATCGTTGAGCACAGTTCGCGAAATAAAAGCGCTGCAACATTGTGAATGCAAATATGTGAGTAAAAAAGAGTGTGTTTCGTGAATGTACAATTTATAAATATTCAAATTACGCGTGTAAAACCAAAATGTATGTCAATTACAGATAATGTCGTTGCTAGATGTATTCCCTGATATGACTGGATTGTCATTAGTCTTTGAATTTATGCCGCATACACTATACTCAATACTAAAAAATGATTCGATGCCATTAAGTCGGTCGACAATTCGATCATATGCGAGCATGTTGTTGCATGGCGTCAACTATATGCATAATATCGGTATCATGCATAGGGTGAGTAATATCGACTGTATTTGAACAAGCTTAAAAACATACTCATACACACAGTTATGGATTGCATTGTAGGATATAAAACCAGCCAATTTACTCATTGACGAAAACAATGTGCTAAAAATAGCCGACTTTGGATTAGCTAGAATTTATAGCCAAAATGAGGACAAATCATATTCACCCCAAGTAATACTTTCTAAAGTTGTGTGCCATTTCCATGCATACATTCCGTTCTGCTACATATGCGCAGCCCAGCTATTCATCGCAAGAATGAGATTTTTGTTTTATTTTGTTTTGTTATGTTTATTTACCGTTATTTCTCAACAAGTCTGCCTATATCAACGCATTGCCTCTGTACATAGTTTATGTCCATACGAAATGAGCCGGGCTCGATATGTAGCAGAACAGAATGTCTGTTTCAATGAAAGATCTTCCACAAAATAATTGGTTTCTTTTTCATTGAATTTTGATAGGTAGCCAGCAGATGGTATAGGGCACCAGAGCTTTTATACGGATCATCAAAATACGGGTCAGCTGTAGACATGTGGGCGATTGGATGTGTGTTTGCTGAAATGTTAAGAAGGGTGCCGCTATTCAACGTAAATATCTAAATTGATCTGAAACAATTGAACTATATATCAACTGAGTTTGAAACGGTTGAATCTTGAGAAATGCTTTTTCAGGGAAATACAGACATCGAGCAACTGGCATTGGTGATAAAAATTTTGGGAAATCCAAACATAAAAGATTGGCCGGAGATAAATTCATTGCCGGATTTCAAAAAAATTCAGTAAATATTACAGCTCTGAAAATCGATTTTTACAATAACCATCACAGTAATTTTTGAATTGAATCGCACAGTTTTTCTCACAGCAAAGGGGAGAGCTGGCAAAATGTATTCCCCACATGCACAACAGCCAACGAAATCGCACTTGTTGATGGTCTTATTCAATATAACCCAAAAAAGAGGCTAACTGCAGCTGAGGTACAGTTCAATACAGAAAAGCTTTTGACTTATGCAATGCTATGATTATTTTGTTGCCTTTCTTTAATGCAGACTTTAAATCTGGACTACTTTACCCAGTTCGACGGTGATGTGCGGAAATCTACATCCAAAATATAAATTTATTATATGATCATGTGGAGAAACATAGCATATGCAGATAGTTTTGATTTTCATAATTCAATTTCAGAAGTTGATATAATTGCATCATTGTTTGGTTTAGTTGATTGCAATTCATATCATACGAGCACAAAATATTTGGTAAGAAAAAAGCGAAGTGAATATTCAAATATTAAATTCAAATTTCTAACTAATTGAATCGTTTTTCTCTATTCTCATTCGAATGGTTCTCAAAAGATTTTCTGAAGTACTGTGATCCCATCGATTTGTGAAAATGGCGAGAAAATGGAGATTATAAAGAAATCGATAAGGTTAAAGGCATTACCGTGGAAATGAACATTTTGTGAAAAAATCGCGAGAGTACATTGTAGATTTTTTACGGGAATCACAGTACAGATAAACCTTAGCACTAGCAATCTGTGCCATTTTTCATAAGGCGTCTCCACTCGCATTGAGTTTGTATTGTGAATGTTAAGGTGCGTGCAACGCCCTTCAATGTAAAAAACAATACAAGTGGAGATGATACACGGGATTTATCTGTACTTTGGCATCGTTACTTTTTTTGTATCAAGTGAATCGTGCAACGGACGATAAGGTCAGTGGTGTCGATACCGACTATTTCGAAAAGGACGGCAAAGAAGTGATGTGTTTTGAAGTTATTGTCCAAACAACAAAAAACAAACACGAAAATCGGGTGAAACTGCCCAACGAAGATCGGCAAATGGTTGAAGTGGAAATCGGCTATGACTTCCAGTGGCCAAACACCGACGCCCTGGGAAATGTCTTCAACGATTTATACGATATGCACAAAACCAATATTTTGACACATCGGTGGAAATGGGCCCGTTGGTTTATATTTGTGCATACCAATGGAACGTGTCCGAGTTCCACGAAAATTTGGAGCCAAACGATCAAGTATTAATAAACGACGCCGACATCAACGTGTTGTTGAAATACTTGTTCTTCCAGCGTCCATTGAATCCTAATTCCGACTTTAAGGAATTGTTGTATATAACATTTTTTTGAAACGGTTGCAAAAAATTGGTGGTCCAGAAAATGAAAACATGCTCGATTTCGTTACAAAACATTGGTTTCAATCGTTGTATGTATTTTGTCGCATTCAACGCGACACCGTGATGAGAATTGAGTACATTATTTCGATATGGATTGAGAAGTGAGCTGTTCAATGGATACACTCCGGATATATTTGTACTGGATCGTGGGCTCTGAATACACTTCAACCGGTTCAGTACATTCGTAGTTGAGACGTAGCAGAACACATCAGCATTTTAGATTTAATTTTGATTTTTCGACTTTAACAATAATTCATGTAACGTTAAGCTATTCTGATTTTGTGCCCCTGCCAAAGTAATTACCGCGCCGGGAAGCAAAAGCAAACCGTGTCGGCTAGTATGATTATGTTTTCAATAAACCAAATCAAATGAAATGAACATAAAAAAGACCGAATAAATATAAAAAATCGAAAAACGGAAAAACGCACAGTTGAATCGGTTCAATGGTAAATGGTAAGTGGTTGACGTGTACGGACGTATATGTATGTGTACATCTGTACGAGGAATTTTTTCTGTGCTTTCCATATTCGGATTCTTTCGCTTTTCTTCACTCGCATGTACTGGGAAAACTGTATACATTGCGCATGCTTCGGGCTAAAGTGAAATTGAATAGATAATGATAGTTGTATGAATGAATGTTCCTCATTATGAGTCTTTGAAAACTTTGTGTAGCAAAGCTTTATTTGATTTACACTGTGGAGGAAGAAAAAATTGGTGGATTCACATTTTTTAAAATTAAAAATTCATCTCGTCGCGTGTTTCGTCTATTTGATTGACTTGGAAATCAGAATTAATATGATTGGTGGACACAAATTAAGTTTTACTTCGCAAAGTGAAGTAATTTAGGTGATTTACACACCATCACCATAGTGAATCAGGAAGAAAAAAAAGCACACTCAAATAGGGCGGATAGCATTTTGCCACTATTCGAAATCTTGATTTAAAATCGAAATTTTCAAGAAGTAGGTATGTAGCATTACAGTGTGTTAACAAGCAAATATTCTGTTTGGGTGATAACACAGCTTTTCTTTTATCTGTGGTAATACCTGTATAAAAAATAGTTTGGGACCTCGTTGAAAGATATTAGACTTTCTATGCTCTCATTTTGGACAAAAACGAAATTAGTGCAAATCTCAGAATTGTTTAATCGATTTTTGTGCCGAAGCTTCTGCCTGAAGATGACATTTATTTCACAATTCATGCTGAAACCAGAACAACGAATGAAAATTCATTAAAAATATATTACTCACATGTAACACCAAATACATTAGTTCTGCTCGTAATTTTTCGTTGTATACATTTGGTGCATTCATGTGTAAGATTGACTTAGTTGGTTTCTAGTGGATTGAAAATATCAGTGTATTGAATTTAATAAAAAAAAATGCCTGCTGTGTCAGTGAAATTCCAAATCAATGTTTTTTAATCTGTTTTTGGTTTTTCTTCAGTTCCAGTACAGAAATCATGCGAATTCTCGGTTTATATCGATTTTACGAAATTTTTAGTTTTGGTTTTCTATTGTTCTGTTGTACTATTCCGTTGATACAATGCCATCGATCCGATGTTTACATAGCGGGATTTTTTCCGTACGGCGTGGGCAAAGAAAATTCAGAAGTTGGTGAGTTTGAACTGAACAACGAAGTGGTTGTGCATTTTTCTTTAAATTAAATCGTGTTTGCTTTCTCTTTGTTGTGTATCATGTGCAGGCAGAGGAGTGATGCCCAGTGTTAAATTGGCTTTAGATCATGTTAACGAGCACTCGGATATTTTGACCAATTACCGCCTTCACATGTGGTGGAATGATACACAAGTAAATTTATATCTTTTTTTTGCTTGAACAAAATAACTGTGTTTTGTTTCTTTTTATATTTTGAAGTGTAATGCAGCTGTTGGAGTTAAATCCTTTTTTGACATGATGCATTCAGGACCACATAAATTAATGTTGTTCGGAGCCGCTTGTACTCATGTTACTGATCCCATTGCAAAAGCCAGTAAACATTGGCACTTGACTCAGTTATCTTATGCGGACACGCATCCTATGTTTACACGAGATGCTTTTCCGAATTTCTTTCGAGTAGTTCCATCGGAAAATGCATTTAATGCGCCGCGCATGGCATTGTTAAAAGCATTCAATTGGACACGAATTGGAACAATCTACCAAAATGAGCCACGATACTCTTTACCACACAATCATTTGGGTTTGTGGATTTTTAATTCAGACATTTAAAATTTTAGAATCGAATTGACAAAAATATCAAAATGGTCGAAATTATTTGCATATTATAGTGGCTGTTATGGATTCAGAAAACATCACGGTACTCGAAACCCAAAGTTTTGTCGCTGATGTTAAGGATTCTTTGAAAAAACTTCGCGAAAAAGACGTTCGAATCATTTTGGGGAATTTTAATGAGCATTGGGCCAGACGAGTTTTTTGTGAGGCTTACCGTCTCGAGATGTACGGACGTTCATATCAATGGTTAATTATGGGAACATACTCACTAAACTGGTGGATGAAAAACGATACGATTGATTGTACTCCAGAGGAATTGAAAAAAGCACTCGAAGCGGCCATTCTCACGGATTTGCTACCATTATCAACGACTGGTGATATCACCATCAGTGGAATCGTAAGATCATGATTTTTTATATTTTTGATTAAGGGTCTCAGGCGAGAAAATCGCTAATCGGGGAAATTTTTGGGGAATTCAGTTCAAAATAGGGGAATTTGTCTTTTTTATTTTAAACAACTATTTTTGTAGTTATTAGCGAAATATATCCCAGAAAAATGATATTTTGAAGGGAAAATCCCCTTTGTACACGATTTTGACATTTTGTACACTGATTCGACATTTCGTACACGAATGTGACATTTTGTACACCGATTTTTGTACACTGATTTGACATTTTGTACACGAATCGGACATTTTGTACACGAATGTGACATTTGTACACTAAATTGACATTTTGTACACTTTTTGGTCATTTTGTACACGAATTTCTGTACACGATTTTGACATTTTGTACGCTGATCAAACAATATGTACACGAATGGGATTTTCGTATATACAAAAATGTCAAATTAGTGTACAAAAATCGGTGTACAAAATGTCACATTCGTGTACGAAATGTCCGATTCGTGTACAAAATGTCAAAATCGTGTACAAATATCCAGGTCCCATTGAAGTATACAGCCGCTGACAACTAATAAGAAACGGGGGGTAAAATTTCGATTTTTCCGATTTTGTTTTCATTCATTTCTTATATTTTGATACCACTGAACAAAAAATGTATCGGCGTGAATATTTGAAGTTTTTTTACGCCAACTATGGTTATGGTTCAACTTTTGTTTTTGAAGAAAATATACGTTTGTTTCATCAAAGTTTCCAAAAAGTGTGGAGCAGCTAATTAGAAACGCATATACATTTGTAGTTATGTAAAACAATTCAACAAATGTATTCAAAAATCGAAAAATTGTGACAAAAAATCTCAACTATATTGAGAAGTACACAATTTTCCAACTTGTGTTCACATTCTGTCACAATTTATCAATTGGAGGCTGTCTCATTTTCCAAATATTAACAGATTTTCTGTGTATTACTCTTGGAATATATTGTATGGAACAAAAAAATCGAAATTTTAGGGGATAACTCCAATTCTGTATGCTGTATAAAACAAAAAAAAATTAAAATATCCATAACAAATTTTTTTCTCGCTAATATTGTTTTCGGGGAATCGTAAAATCTGGCCGGGAATCATGTCGTTTTTCGGGGAAATTCCCCGGATTCCCCCCCCCATCTGAGAGGCTTATTTTTGATTGAGAACCAATAATAATAATGGTTTTGAATGTGTATTATTTCAGACCGCTAAGGAATATTTGGCCGAATATGACTCAAGAAGGGGACGTGAATATTCAAGATTTCATGGATATGTAAGATTCATAGTGATATGTTTAGGTATAAATCGATTCGGTAATTTGGCAATAAAATCCTTTCTTTTGGGCAGACTTACGATGGAATTTGGGCTGCTGCATTGGCCATTCAATATGTGGCTAAACGAAGGGAGCATTTTATGGCAAAATTCGAGTACCGTGTCAAAGACTGGGAAAATATTTTTTTAGATGCATTAAGAAACACCAGTTTTGAAGGCGTTACGGTATTGCTAATTGTGACTTATTTTATAATGATGACGATGGTCGTCGAGGTTGGATTCAGTTAAATTCCAATTTATTTCAGGGCCCTGTACGTTTTTACAACAACGAAAGACGCGCAAACATCTTATTGAAACAGTTTCAAGTCGATAAAGAGGTCAAAATCGGTGAATTTAATTCAATCGAAAATAAACTGATGTTTGAATCTGGCGAGCAATTGAAATGGGTATGTTGAAATGTGAATATCTGGATTACTGTATAATGTAGTCCTAATTCGAAATTCGTTTCCTTCCAAAGATCGGTCGATCACCACCAAAGGATCAAACTGTTAGGATAATAGAGCGTAGTCAAGTGAATCTAACTATCTATGCCATTCTGGCCAGTTGTTCCGTTTTGGGCATTATTTTGGCCGCAATTTTCCTTGGATTTAATGTAAAATATCGAAACCAAAGGTAGGATTTCCTTTTTAGAAAACAGCAAAATAAAAACAATTGTCAAATTGAGCTCTTTATCATCTTTAGATACATCAAGATGTCAAGTCCTCATTTGAATAATCTTATCATTCTTGGATGCATGTGTACCTATTTAAGCGTTATATTTCTGGGTTTAGACAGTGGTCTCAGTGGCGTTTCTGCATTTCCATACGGTAAATCTTATTTCCTTCTTACGAAATAACTTCCCCCAACCTAACACTGTCTCCACTTCAATCAAAAATAAAACGGTCAAGTATTTTGAATAAGAGAATATATAATTATAATTGAGTGGAGAGAGTGTGTAAAGAAAATAGTGTTGGATAACTTCTTAAATGGTGATGGTTCTTTAATTTCTTAAATAATTCCATAATCTATATTAAAATCAACCATATTTGGAATTTTCAGTTTGCACTGCAAGGGCATGGCTATTGATGGCTGGATTCAGTTTGGCATTCGGAGCTATGTTCTCGAAGACCTGGCGTGTTCATTCCATATTCACTGATGTTAAGCTCAATAAAAAAGTTATCAAAGACTATCAACTGTTCATGGTGGTTGGAATTTTATTGGCTATTGATGTAGTCATCATGTTGACATGGCAATTTGCTGACCCATTTTACCGCGATACTAAACAAATTGAACCAGTAGTAAATGAACGATCTTTAGAGTTTTTTTTTTCATAGAATTCAAAAATCATATTTATTTTGAAATTTCAGCACCATCCAATGATGGAAGACGTTTTGATTGTACAGGAAAACGAATATTGCCAATCAAGTAGAATAACCATATTCATTGGAGTAATATACGCATACAAAGGATTATTATTGGTAAGACAAAAAAAATTACGGCACAAATTATTGGACGCATTCTAATGGACAAAAATACGTTATTTGTTGGGTGCAGATTTTTGGCGCTTTCTTGGCATGGGAGACCAGACATGGTAACTACTGACTTCTCTACACAAAAAGTAGTGTTGGCTTCGAACGTTTGTTCGTTCGGAAACTATGGCTTGTTCGACCGTTCGTTTTTTTTATATTTAAAATAAATTGGAAGCATTTTTGACTTTGTCATTAAAGGGGAGGCCTCTTTTGACTTCGAAATGGTCATAATCATTTTTGGCGGTTTATCACGATTTTTCGCTTTTTTCGCTAAACTGATCAGAGATGATGACTTGATGTCTTCGGCATACAGCGGTTTATTTTTGATATATTATTAATAAAGGGTGTCCCAAAAGTACCTGACCGATTTCTTTTTTGAATAAAATCTGCAATTACCGACGCATTTTTGTCATATTTGACAGGTGACGTCTCAAAACTATAGGATTTGGTTCGGAGTTGAATTTCATATGATTTTTCCATTTATGACCAAACCAGCGGCTTCTATTTTAGAGCATAGTTTGAGCCCTAAAGTTCGGGAAAATGTTGATTTTTCCGACATGGATCGATTGAATATCGTGTTCAAATGACTCCAAAATGTGGTGGACTTTCGATACAACATTTTTCAAAAATATTTTGTACGAATTAAATTGGTTTTGTTGAGAAAATTTATCAATTTCGGTCAAAAATTAGGGAAAATTCGTCAAAAAATGTTGTTTTTTCAACAAAGGTGTTGACGAACTGCTCTAAATCATTTTAAATAAGGCTACTGGAAAAAAAATTCTAATGTGATATGTTCGTCAAGTCCTAGACCGTCAATTTGAGTTAAAATTTTAAATTTTTCTTGTCCCGGTCGCCAAAACGGCCAAAACGGCCAAAACGAGCCGAAATTGGCTCAATAACGATATCTCGTAAACTATTCAAAATTTCTAATCAGTTTCTTCGGTGAAAATAAAGTATAAGATGGAAGGAAAAAGTTCTTTGAACAAACCATATCCAAAAAGACGGTGCATGATACCGAAAAGTCCTTCGGTACTTATACCTTGTGATATTAAGGGAGGACTGTTTTTGTAGTGTGAAACTTAGGGTTCGATTACTAGTTTGTCTGTCATGTATTGGGTCGGAAGCCCTATCAGCACTAAATCCTATAGTTTTGAGACGTCACCTGTCAAATATGACAAAAATCCGTCGGTAATTGCAGATTTTTTTCAAAAAAGAAATCGGTCAGGTACTTTTGGGACACCCTTTATGTTATTAATCAACATATTTTAATAACTAATAATTTTTTTGAAACACCATATTTATTAACGTTAATAAATATCACGCATTTATTAACATATTAATAATTGAACCGTTGCGACAAGAAAATTTCCTCAGAATTTTAAAGTGCAACATGACATTTTTTTATATGGCGTTGTTGTTGTAAAAGAAAGACGTGACTCAGCTCTGAGAGCTGTAGACTCTTCGTATTAAAATCGTACCATCAGTCTACTTAGTCGCAGTCTTTTTTCATGTTGCACTTTAAATTTAGAAAATTCTGAGGAAATATGTTTGTCGCAACGGTTCAATTATTGGTATGGTCATACCTCAAACTGCTTTTTGTTTGTAACTTTGCTAGAAATGGCCCTTGACTAAGCTGTCAAACATATACTAATATATTGCGCATGGCAGAAATATAGATGGCGCTAACAGTCAAAAATACTCCCAATATACGAGAGATATGTGAATTAGAGAGGATGGTGAATTTTCGGTTATTAATATGGTGAGGATTTCATTAGAAATCTAATAAAATTGACACCATATTAATTACCGAAAATTCGCCACACTAATTACTATTAATAAAACCAAAAAAAAAATCGCAGAAAACGCGATGAATCGCCAGAAATGAATGTTTCCATCTTTGATCATTTTGCAGTCGGAAAAAGTGTCTTCTTTCATGACAAAGTCAGTGGAACACACTCTGCTTTCAGTCTTGTCCGAAAAATTCAAATTTTATTTGTTTCCTATGTATTTTAAATGTAAAAAAACCAAACGGTCGAACAAACGAACATCAAACATACTTTTCGAACAAACGAACGAAAACGACAATTTTTTTCCAGCCTCTCTGATCGTCTGTATAAATAGATAGGAAACGTCAAACAAGAACAATAAAGCGACACCTGGAGACTGGTTGCAGAAATAGAGAATCATGCACATAGTTCGCTATAACAAGTACGCGTCGGTGTTAGTGGGTTTGTGTTAGTTCGAACATTAAAAGTAATGGCACATTGCACTTAGTCCCCAGGCGGAGCTGTATGGTTTACTATTTTCATGATCAGAAAGGCTGTTTTTTTTTCAAGTTGTCGAACGGTCGAATGGTCGAACAGGTGTTCGAAAATGTTCGACAGCCAACACTAACAGAGTCCTAATGATTAATATCCCCTTTTTTCCATTATTGCAATTAGTTTCAATACCAGCGCTCAACGATTCGAAACACATTGGTCTGAGTGTGTATAATGTGCTGATAATGTGTATCATGGGGGCTGCGATTGCCCTAGTGCTAGCAGATCGTCGAGATGCTGTTTTCATTTTGATCTCAGTATTTATAATATTTTGTACAACGGCAACGTTGTGCTTGGTGTTCGTACCGAAAGTAAGAATTGTGGTACCTAACATTTTTGTTTGGATTCTTATTGTCGATGCAGTTGCATGTGATTTTTACTTATCGTCTCTTAGATGGTGTATTTGACATTGATTGTTTGGTTTGTTTCTGTAGGTAGTCGAAATGCGACGTAATCCACAAGGAGCTGTTGATAAACGAATTCGAGCTACACTTCGGCCAATGTCGAAAAACCGACGAGATTCATCGGTTTGTGAGTTGGAGCAACGTCTCCGTGACGTTAAGACAAACAATTGTCGTTTTAGAAAAGCTTTGCTTGAAAAAGAGGCTGAACTACAGGTAATAATTTCATTTTTATTTTATCAGTTAAATATTTAATTCGATTGAATTTTAGGCACTTATTCGCAAATTGGGCCCCGAGTCACGTGCTTGGATTGATGGAACCACTGAATCAGAACCACTTCTTAACCGACCCACTCTATCGGTTCCAATCGTTCGACGAGATATGCCCAGCACAACTGATGTAACTGATATGACTTCAGTTGGCAGCATGACATCCACGCATGACTCTGAACACGTTACCACCATGGCTGACGGAAAAAAGTAGGTTTGCAAACAAACACAATAATAATGATATTAATCCGTAATAAATTCCCATTCTCAAATATCTTTTTCTCAGCTCAAATCTACAAACTGATCTCCAACAATTGAGTGCCCAAATGATGTCCGCACAACAAAAATCGCAGCAGCTCATTGAAAATAATAACAATCAACCGCTGATGGATCCATCACAGAAAAGGCGTCTAAGTCGGTCTCAGGAAAATAACATAATTGATAAGATTTCATTACCGTTGGATAATTATGCAAAATTAGCCAATGAATCGCACTACATCAAGAATAAAACCCTTCAGTCGCCGGTTAATCGATATAAGGTTTGTTTTGTTCGTTAGCTAAGGTTATGAAGAGTTCTTTGGTATTCAAATTTTTTTCATAATAAATTGTTTTCATTATATCCAAATTTTAGGAACTTGAAGAAAAAACAATAAAAAATCGTTCGCAATTAATTTTGTCATCATTAACGCATTCGAACACTGAGTTGAACAGTATTTGTCCGCACAAAGAGAGCACAAAAAGTAAGAGCAATACTCAATGAAGCAGCGGACTTGTCGTCATACGCATAGATGTAGCATTTCACTGGATTTAGCGATTCGTTAGTTGCCGAAACACCGTCTGATATTCGGTATGCCGTATATTCGGTAAGCTGAAATGAATGTCCGAGAATGAAAACGCAACTTCTATTCACAACACATATAAGTGAAACAAAAATAAAAAATTTATTGAAATGAAACAACAAAATCGAATTTTTTCAAAGTGTAACAACAAAAAAGATTTTTTTAAAGTGTAACATCGGTATGTAGTAAGTGTAACAACATACCGATGTTACACTTTAAAAAAATCTTTTTTGTTGTTACACTTTGAAAAAATTCGATTTTGTTGTTTCATTTCAATAAATTTTTTATTTTTGTTTCACTTATATGTGTTGTGAATAGAAGTTGCGTTTTCATTCTCGGACATTCAAATATAATTTCGTTTGCGGCACCGCGCGTTAGGAATTTATGTTAAATATAACGTCGTACTTCATCGTAGTAGCCATAGGTCATTTGGCTAACCGAATATTGGGATATCACGTGATATATCTAGTTGACTGCATAGATGATGTTTCGGCAACTAACGAATCGCTAAATCAAGTGAAATGCTACATCTTCGCGTGTGACGACAAGTCCGCTGCTCCCTTGAGTATAAATATTCAAAGTTCGATTGGATATAGAAAATATATCATTCAATTGGTTTACAATATACAGATTTGAATCAAGAACCACATCGACGGGTGAGCGTTGGGGCTGCAATGAAAGGTAATTTTGTTGTGTCGCAGAGTGACTTATGGGATACGCACACATTGTCGCATGCAAAACAAAGGCAATCACCTCGCAATCATCCAAATCCACAACGTTGCCAAGAGCATGTACACAGTGTACCACACGAACAGAACAGTCTAATATCGGCGCCAATACAGCGAAGCGTTTCAGAGAAAAATCGGACCAAACATCGGCACAAACCGAAAATATTGATGGGACAATGCGAAACCGACAGCGAACGTGAGCGTGATAATCGCAATCCAACGACGCCACAACGAAAACTTGCCAAATCAATACAGCATTCCCATCATCATTCATCGCCGAATGTAGCACCGGAAAAACAGCGAAAACATCGCAGTAGCAAAGCTGAACTCTATGGTGCTAGCTCTGAATCGGAACTTCTTGACGGTGACACCGCCATTCTGCCGATATTTAGAAAATTACTTACCGAAAAACAGCCACGGTATCGCAGTCGAAACAATGTAGTCGGTGCCAGTTGTCCTAATATATCGATTAAGTGTGATATCGTAGAATATTTGTAAACACACACAAACACAAACACAAACACAAACTCACATACAAATTACACACACCAATCAATGAACAATTCATTCAATATTCAATTAACGGTATCATCATCGAATTGGTATTAGGTGCCACATTTGACGTGGTTGTCTGTAGTAGCTTTGAAAGCGTTCATCACCATAGTCTATTGAATCAACATGAACCAAAGTGTAGTTAAAATTAGTAACAAGCCCTACTTTCGTGCAAGTAGCTGCAGTCCACCCCAGGCACTAATGAAAAAAAAAAACTTTCGGTAGTACATGTTTATGAATCACATGGCCAACATCGCAAGCATGTTCGTAGCACTTGGGTTGGTTCTCAACATAGTTCAGGATTTGGTGTTTGTCCACGAACATCGTACGGTTGATTATAACTAGTGAAATGCAAACCAAATGAATCGAAAAAATAGGAATTTGATGTGGATGAATTCGGAATAATGAAAATATGTCCCACGAAAAAAAATCAGACCACGTCTACAGCTATGTTTTTCCATGTCCATATAGTTCAGACCTAGTCTAGAAATTACTCAGCATTGCTATGACATTTCAGGCCTGATCTACGCTCAATTCGCTCCCAATCTTATATGGAGATGATATGAACTCGTAAGAATAAAATCAACGTTTAACGTTGGTATGCTCATGCTCACGTATCACAGCACAACTCAGTCGCATAACTGGACGAAACAAAATTTTGTTACGTGAATGTGGAATACTGCAAATTGCAGTCTGCAATACATATATTCAGTGGCAATTTCGTTCGGTACAATTTTTTGATTAGCCGTTGTGTATAAGGTAGCTATACTTTATTCACACAAATTAAAATATGAAGATACTGATTTCTTCAGTTTGGAAATACAAAATAAATGAGATTATGTTATTTGTTTACATGCATTTGTGATGTGATTCCAATTGAATAGTTTCAACTCATTTGAACCATTTTTAATGAAAAGATTTAAGTGAGTGAAGAGTGTGCGTTACATTTTCAATGAATCAATTAAAATGTCGTTTCTTGACGAAGCAAGGCGAAAGAAGAACGCGCATCCACACAGAAAGGAAATACAGGGCGAATACACATCGTCACTGAAATATTGTTCGGATGCCATCCATCGATATAACATTGTTTTTGCTGCGCGCACAGTTTGTGTGTAGTCGATGTGGCTGTATACAGTAACGCACGCCACTTATACAGTAACTTGCGTCGTCGATATGATGAGATGCTTAGCCATCCAAAAACGTTTGTTTGATACCAACACACAGGGCATAACTATCCCTTCGACAATATGTCGCTAGTGGTATATGCTCTTGCTGCCATTGTATGATACAAACATCACGATTGACCTCTTTTAGTTTATTATTTATTCCCTGGGGCTAATTTTTATGCGCGAAGTTGAGAGTAGTGTATGTTTCACAGACTTTGTTCTGGAAAGAGAACAGTATGTTTCTAAGCAGTATAAATAATTCATTGATTTCAACAAATATATGTAGGTTTATCGTCTTTTACAAAGTTAAAAGCCCAACAATTTTTGCGAAGACGCAAATTCGATCTTTCTTGTCATTAGTTCAGCAATCGCAAACAACCATGAGTGAAATATACTCTACTTTATCAAAAAATAAGTCATCAAAAAACATATATGTTATTGTACACATATACACTCACCCATAGATATAAACATAGCAAAACATTGTTGTAGACCTGTCTGTTTTTCGAATTGAGCATTATAGTTGTTACGACATATGGTCTTTACAGGTTTTTATATCCTATTTTACGTAGAAAACTTCGAGGGCATGCACTGTCAGAATTTCCAACATTTTTCTGTTGGTATCTTTGGTAATATACGAAAATCACGGATATCTGTGAATTTCGTATATTACCAGAAATATCAATAGAAAAATGTTGAAAATTCTAACAGGCATTCAGTGCTGCTTAATGGCGAGCGCGGCTCTTGCATTCGCAGCCAGCTATTTCTCGCAGTTTTACATTGCCAATACATTTCCTTATGGGGATTTTTATTTTGTTTATTTTTTGTTGTTTGTATACAAATCTACCTATCTTTTTGCATTGTCTCTACATACTTCTTATGTACATATACTATGTACAGTGGCTATGCGTTGATATAGGTAGACTTGTAGACAAATAATGGTAAATAAACAACATACATACAAGAGCCGCGCTCGATATTAAGCAGAGATGGAGTAAATGACCGGTATATATACATTGATATACCTTTGCGTTAAATAACGCGTTCGCTGTCACTAAAGTATTATCTAACGCGTGCTAACGCGTGCTCTCAACGCAAAGGTATACGTTTAAGTACATTTTTTTACCGATACACATTTCCATACACTTGCGGTAAACGATGAACCATCTCTGATATTAAGCAACACGGAATGTCTGAATTCTAACAGTGTGGTGGACAAATAGTATTAAAATATTACAATGACACGACCAGGATTTTTTTCGACGTGTTTTATATAGTGATGTAACATCATTATTCTTGTCGATATATTAGCTGAAATTTACAAACAAGTTCCAAAAGTGATTTACTTCTATAGTGATGTCAATAAAGACGATCAATGAAGCAGCGGACTTGTCATCACACGCGTAGATGTAGCATTTGACTTGATTTAGAAATTCGTTAGTTGCCGAAACGTCGTATATGCAATTCACTCCATACTTTACGTGAAATCCTAATATTCAGTTAGCCACGGCTATGAAATCCATACGGACGACAACATTCGACCTGCTTTTAGTGGTCATACACACAACACATAACACACATTGAGCGGTCAATATATACAAACAATACAGACACGCTAGCATAGGATTTATACGGTTTGCACGAAAGGAAATCTTCAACTATCACCACAAGCGTCGTGTCAGTTGAGCTCGTCTCTTGTTTACATTGGAAATACGTGTTAATGTTGTTGTAGCTTCATCGCCGTGCAGTAAGCTGAAGTGTGATTTCGTTTGACGCATCGCGCGTAGACAATTCACGTTAAATATAACATGAATTCCTATATACTCTTCATCAGAGTAGCCATAGGTATACATAACGCGCAGCGCCGCAAACCATACTTCGGCTTACCGAATATTAGGATTCCACGTGAAATTCAGAGTGAACTACATATACGACATTTCGGCAACTAATGAATAGCTAAATCAAGTCAAATGCTACATCTACGCGTGTGACGACAAGTCCGCTGCTACATTGAACGGTTTTCAGCGCCACCTCTTTCGTTCACCATATACGCTAGTCAATTAGCTGAAGAACGTTCAATCTTTGCACCGTTCAATTTTCACGATCCAATCATATCGAATGACAGCTTAGTCGATTTTGCGACAGGGGCTCTGAAACTCGTCGTATTTGACCAAAACCTGGTAGCAATGACATAATAATTTGCATATGAAAATCGTGATCAAGAGCTTTTTATTCACTATTCGGCATACACTGTAAAAGAAAAGTCTGTAATCTGAATATTTAATATTTCCAAATATTGATTCCATTGCACCAAAGCAATATGTAAACAAAATCCAAAATCGCTTTTAAACAAACAATATCGAAGTATTTTTTGTTCTAACGACTTAACATTGAATACACGTCGCTTGTTTGATTTGAACTAGCCACAAAGCCAAAACGACCTTGCGAACTGGGAAGGATAAAAAAACATCTTACACTATCATTGGTGCTAGTGGCACACTCTATATAAAATGGTTCTAGTGCCCCACTTGTAAAAAACACACCAAAATATGAACTAAAAGCCTGTTCCAGCTTCTTGATATCAATTGATTGGATGTATAAAAGAAGGAAATTAAACAAATAATAGAATTTAAGCAAGGAAGTTCACCCAAAAGTTCAGGGGAACATGCTCGCTCTGCGTTACGCGTAGAGTCCATTAGAATCTAGGTCTAGTTTGTTATTGCATAACAAACTATAATTGAGGCGTTACATGAAATGTACTACAACACAATATATGGATGTATTATTGGGTCTATGCGTTAATTTCCGGGCTTTATTTAAAAAAAACTCATTCATTTCAATAACAAAATGAAATCATAAACTAATGAAATTACTGTCAATCGGAAGCGACATCCTTTGCCTATATTTCACGCAATTTACAGAAACCATCTCGAAAAACTAACGGTACTTTTGACCCTATGAACGGGTCGATCCATTTTTCGGGTTTTTCCAAAAAAATCGAACCGTTCTCCACTTAGGTGATTTTTAATCGTCTGTATCAAATGGTAGTCAGAAGGTGGAATGTCTGGAGAATACAGCGCGGATATAGCGGGTGTTTATATTCAATTGGTTCTTAGGAATTTTCAACTTTTTCGGTAGAAAGTCATTGAAAAATTTTGCCTCGGGGAACCAATTTTTTTTAAATATTAAGCTATTTTTCCAATCCTGCTGTTAGAAATTGGTATATAACGATTAGCTATTGTTAGGAACGATCAAATCTAATATTTTGATATTATTTTACCTCCACACAACGGACAATATCTTCCCCACCCCCGCATATATGGCAAATCACCCATTTTCGAAAGACTGATTGCGCCTCCCTCTATAATGACAAGGAGAAACAAGCAAAATATGATTCTTTATGCTTGATTCTATCGAGAAGGGTCCATTCTTCATAATCAGTGCCAACCCGATACAAACATAATGCTTTTTTCATTATTTATTCTTGTGAAAAAAAAACAGCCTTCGCAAAAGTCGATTTTCAGACTCGTAGATCTATCATTACAGGTTGGAAAAAAATTAATTTTGTGAGACTTCAGAAAAATGAGACATACCGAAAAAGATAGTATTTTGACAATACTTTAACATAAGGGTAGCAACAATATTGCCCGATGCCTTATAATACAAATTACACCATCTTCTGACGAAGCCCGGAAATTAATGCCTAAACCCAATAGATAGCATACACAGTACAATGAAGTTCAGGTCACCCAAAATCAGCTAAACTTCTGTATAAAATTCAGTGCTACCACACTAACCAATACACTACATCATAATGTATGGAAATGAAAATGTTCAAGTATCGTATTGATGATAACGTTTTAATCATAATTTGTAGTTAGTCACAGATAATAATTCAATATAAAACTAGAATCTGTTACAGAATTGAACCCGTGAGCATAAAAACAACGTATTGACTCTTCGCCGATGAATACGAAACGCAAAAAAATCGCCGAACAAAGTGAAACACCAATCTGTTATTGGATCAATATGAAACATGAAATCGTTGGCCACTATTTTATTTACGTTGCACTTTGTTTCGAAGCGCGGCAAGTGTTTCATTTTGTTCCAGTAACAGAACGTTGTATCACTTTGTTCGGCGACGCGCTCAATGTACTGTTTTGAAAAAATATGCATGATTTGATACAGTTTTGTGCGAGTGCAACATAAATTCTGTTCGCTTGAAAGTGAATCGTGAAATATCGGCTGACTATAGAAATTGTGTTTCACTTTAATTGAAACAAAAATGTTTGATACAATTTTGAGTCCATTGGTATGATGATTCATTTTAATGGTGGTTTTTGATCGTGATTTGTCTATGAAGTGAAAATTAACTGATAAGGAGTGCGAATTTCGATGTGCCGATAATACCAATAGAGCAGAAAAAAATACTATATGAAAATCGAAAAAAATTTAAACTTTTTTTTTCGACTGTTGCCTATTTCGGATCGTCTACATGGGAAGTTTGTATGAAATCCTCGGAACGCGGGTTCACGCCGCTGTGAATACATTGGTTTATATAGTGAAATCTATACATGGCCAAAACACGGACGCAAAACACCCATTCTATTTCGCTCCCACTTACGTGCAATTTTTACCCGTATAACAAAGTAGTCTGCTTTACTGTTAAAAAGATGTGCGCAGTAAAGAAACAAGAACGTACATGTTTCAGCAACGTTAAAGTGCACGTAAGTGTGAGCGAAATAGAATGGGTGTTGTGTTAAAATGAATCATCATACCAATGGACTCAAAACTGTATCAAATCATGCATATTTTTCCAAAACAGTACATTGAGCGCGTCGCCGAACAAAGTTACAAAGTTACTGGAACAAAATGAAACACTTGCCGCGCTTCGAAACAAAGCGCAACGTGAATAAAATAGTAGCCAACGATTTCATGCTTCATATTGATCCAATAACAGATTGGTGTTTCACTTTGTTCGGCGATTTTTTTGCGTTTCGTATTCATCGGCGAAGAGTCAATACGTTGTTTTTATGCTCACGGGTTCAATTAATGTACGTTTCATGTAACGGTAAAAAGACCTGATTGAATCGACTAAACATCAAAAAGGAATTGTTAGTATACAAGTAGTTTTTTCGACAAACAATTAAAACAATGTAATTGAATGTCCTTAAAATGCAAATCAATTCATATGAGCATCTTGAAAATACTTACAATTGTCATTTTTGTAGATAATGAGTCCAAGATAATATTTGATACAAAATACTTACTTTTGTTCGGATGAATTTAATTTATGCATCATGTGCTTCACACATTAATTGCTTGAATGAAGCTAAATGATGAAATCATAAGCTTCATTTTTATCACAAACAAACAAAAATTCTCGCAATATACATTTACTTCATACTTTGGAATATCACTGAAATATATTTTTATATTTATTTCAGTAATATTTCAATGTATGCAATATTTTGGATTCCGAAATTACCGCAATAAAGAACTAATCACACAATTAAGTACAAATAAGTTGTTGAGAATGAAAATGTTATGAGCCGAAACCACCCGTTAATATGCGAGTCATTCCTTTGTTCCTGATAAGAGCTAGAAGACGGATGCAATATTCCAGAACATTTCAAGATCTTCATCTTTGCTTCAGACACGATTTCCCACTGGTAGCATATAAATGGGTGATTTCGGCTAATCACATGTTTATTCAACAACAAATAATACGCAACTATGTCACCGACCGATTACCTTATTTCAATGTTCTGTCGTTCTTTTTGTGATACAACCGATAATGTTAGTAATAGTTTGATAAATAAAAATCCAAAATTTAAAATCAATGTCCAGTATGTGTTCTTTAATATTTTGAAATTTTAATTTTAGTGTAAAAATTGAATCGCATAAATGTTAAGAATGTATTTAATTTGTTTTTCCGTTTGGCCAAAAATGGTTTGCGATATTCTTAAACTAAAGAGCGACATTCGATCATAGATTGTGCACAATAATGCGGCAATTGGGCGCCTTGCAGCAGAACATCGCTCAGACCCTGAAAAAGAAAAACCAATGAATGTTTGTTTTGATTTAAATAAATTTTCATTCAACGAATTTAGTTCACTTACACTTATCGCTGGTACACAGACAGTTAGTGGATGCACAAAGATGTACCACCCAGCGCAGAAGCCGGCTATGAACAATGACACGATAAGAAGAATCAGCCAGATGATGAACCACAGTGGATTTTTCATTCTATAAATTGTTATTCACTTTAAATGTTTGTTTACTTAAGTTAAATGCATTAGAATAAAAACAACGCATGATACGTTCACACGCCGAGGCGCAACTCAGAACAATTGCGCTTCAAAACGAATTAAAATTTTGTTTCGCTTTGTGATGCAACTGGTTTTGAGTTGCGCTTTGATACGTGAGCACTCTACTGATCTCCATTTGTATATTAACTAAAGCTCTGTGTGCAAAGAAAGTGACTGACTTACTATGAGTGTAATAATCTAAATTCAGTGGGCGAGGGTTTCATTTGAAGTGCTGAGAATACAGACGTGTGCAAAAATCCTAGAGGGTATGAAAATTTGGCAGATGGTGGTCGAAATTTTCACAATTGGTAACTAAAAATTGTTTGCCGAAAAAAGTGAAGACCTAAAGAAAAGGTCCTCACTTTTGAAAATCGATTCTATCTAGTGTAAACTAGTCAAAATCGCTCGAAGGGGGTCTCCGATTTTCAAATCCCAGATGGGGGGTAAAACCGGAAACTACCCCCCCCCCCCTTGCACACGTCTGTGAGAATATTCAATGGACGTTGTTAATCTCGAATAAGTTGTAAGATATTTCAGAATAATTTTCGGGAGTTTTTAGCTGTGATTACAACAACACTTGTCCCGCTTTTTCGTCCAACTTTTTCCTAGTTCCACATGCATAATAAGAATTGAAACACGTCCAACGAATATTCTCAACAGTTCACATATGTGTTCATATCTGTTTATTTTGTTTGAATATAAAAAATCCATGGAATTCAATCGAATCAATTTTTAAAAGTGTGTTCACTTCCTAGGCATTACTTAATTGGTTAAATTAACCGTTAGCATATTTCGAATATCATCGAATTGAAAAGAGGCATTGAATAATGATGTTCAATATACGGTACCATGATTCAAATTGTACCGAATTCCAATTTGCAGCTATACTATCATTAGGCATACACACGTTCCGTTAAATATTTACTCAAGCTAAGCATTCTAATAAGCAAGCGATTGCGTACCAATTAATAACAGCCCGAATGATAATAAATTGCATGGCATTCGCATTGTTTCAGCTACGTGATTCAATGAATTCAACGTCCTCCAAATAAAATGGGAATATCAGCTCTTATCGTACCGTATTACTTGCATTTTTAATAGCTGTTTTTAAATAATTGACTCGAAAACACTCAATATAGGTTTTCAAACCAAACTGTCCATATACGGTGCTTGCCATATAACTTGATCGTGCATAAGAATGCATTCGAATGAAGTTTTGAGGCATTGAAAATAGCTAATGAATTTCCTTCTTCGATGAGTGGAATTTCATTTTTTTTTTACTTGCAGTTCTTAATTCTAATTTAGGTGTAATCACATGATTTAAAAATACAGTTCGCCATTACTGCTTATTATGCAAAAAAGTACATGATTGTTGATTAAATTGCCATATAATTGGTGATCAATCGTTTGATTTGAAACACAAAGTAGCGTGCATGAGTGGTTTGCCTTTCAATCTGAGATGCTTTCTTCTTTATTTTTAAATTTGATTACGATGAAATTCGGTTTTTTTCCATATATTTTTGTTCGTGTTTAAAGTAATTCACATTGATATCACTGCCTTGGTCTTTGTATGTTGTTTACTATTTTGATGAATTGAAAAGAAAACACCACGTCAATTGTTCACTGTAAAAAAAATGCCTAGGGGGAACCGGGAATTTTCCATCTACAAAATTCGTCTCTATCATTCAAATTTAATACCATCTGTATGTAAACTCAAATATTTGACCAAATCTGTAATTATTGAATCGCATCCAATCTGAATGATACTTTTGACATTATCACAATGTGGTAGATTTTATGACAGCTAAACTGATAGAAATACCAATTCGTTGTAATAACAACGCGCAACTGAAAGTGATAATTTGCACTGAATCATCTCTGGAGTAAGTTTGAAAAATTTCACAGTTGTAAATTTCCAAAAATAATCAGAAAAAAGTAGTCACACATATTTACCACCAAATTGAAATGTCAATTTGACAGTATCAACAACACTATCCCCAGATGCAAGCTCAAATGGCTGTCAAATGAACTGTCAAAAAAACTGGAATATCTACCAAAACTATGTTAAATCTGATCATATCTAATGACATCTACTAAATTTGAAAGAAAAAAATTAAATCTAGATTTATATTCAATTTTCTAAGGCGTGGTCAGCCCCTAGAAAAATGCTATAATGAAAATTTGCAAACAAAATTGAATCACCTATTCTAGGTAACTGATGAAATAATTTCCAAATGATTCTCTGAAAAACGTGTACATATTCCTGATTTTTTTTCCGTTCAAGTGCCATAAGAATTTGTATTCGTAATTTCGTTCAATAATTCAATTTAATCAAAAAGAATATATTATATTTGGGTATTAGGTCATTTAATTGCATTTAGAAGCTTTAGTTTAAAAGTTTTGTGTTGCTTTGAAAAATCGTTGAAATTTCGGTACATACGAAAAATAAGGAAGATATTCTCAATTTACCTTATATCGGTGATATCGGCTTTTGGGAGCACTTAATGTAATGTAAACAATGTATGCGGCAATAATAAATAGCGCAACGTGGAAATACTAAATGAACCAATTATCAGTAAGCGACGGTGAAAATGTTAGAGTTTCAACGAATAAAAAACAAGTAAACATATATATATGACGCTTGCGTGATCACTGATCAGACTAGAAGCGAAGCAAAAGATTTGATATAATAGTAAAATAAAGTAAAAATACGAAACGAAATACACTTTGTTGAAGAGTAATGAATTCTTCTTTGAAGTAAACAACTTATGATCAAATATGACTAAATATACACGTTTTCAGACGGTTGATATAGTATAATCATTCACTGTATTCATTACTTAGCCTACCAACACATCAACAGATACACGCCTCGAGCTAAACCAATGAGTGTCATCATTCAATACATTCACATTCACAAAAATCGTTCACTACGAAAGATGCAACAGTATAATTATATGTACGTATTCGCCTTCTCCTGTTGCTTATGCCCATTATGATCTCGTCCGTATGTGTGTATTTTTCTGCGTGTGTATGTGGGTGCGCTTGATACTTGTTTTTTTTTTTCATCGGTTTTAATGTTTTGCTCTCAATGAATGTGGGTATTATTCACATTTGAATTCAATGAAAATCTTAAGCATTTTAAGCAAGGAAATATGCATTTTATTCTAAACTGTGTGCACCCAAATCTTTTGACGAAACGATTCCCTTTTTATACTGACAAACATCTTTTTGCCATATTGGAAGGTGCACAGCGCACTTGAATGAATGAATGAATGTTGGAATTAAATCCAGAAATAATAGCGTGATAACCAACCATATATCTCTAATATCCACACATAATAATGTGAAACGAATAAAAAACAACTCAATTAAAATTCGTTTTTCTTACTTTTCATAATTATTTTTGCATTTAATAAACAAAAATACTTCATCTAAATATATTCGAAAGGTAAAAAACGTCTTGAATTTAGCAAGGTTTCTTATAATCTATAATGATGTGTGATGCCCATATTCATCGAAGAATAAATCATTCCACTCATCTAGATGTGGACTGCCCAGTTTTATGTAGTTCCATAGTGTGGTGGTTTCATCTATTTGCTTTGAATCTGCTGATATCTTCTCCTGAAATGGACGCAGTTTGTCAGCTGTGGCGACGTAGCCCATCAGAGTAGTATGGTTTTGTGTTCTGATCTCATGGAATCGAAGTTTTGTGCATTCGCCAAGCATACATTTTTTGAATCTATGGAGAAATAAATTTTTTTTTCCTTAAATTGTATTCTATTGTGGTTTTGTTAACAATTACACCTACGCATTTTTCGTGTAAACATATCGGTCATCTCGTGTGATTGATTCACTTTTGTTTGTGTGATTTTTCAGATCGGTCACCTTTTCCCTCAATCGATGAATTTGATTCTGAAGATCTACCTGCCAACAAAAAGGATTCGTTGATTGATAACTTTTCAATGCTATCATTTCAAAATCGAATATGCGTGTTACTTGTGATTCTCGTAAGAAGGCTATGACTTCACGGTGTTCATTCAATACTTTTTCAGCCATTATGAGTTGAGTCTTTCGTTCATGCATCGTTTGATACATTGTGCTGTTCGCAATTGCTGTAAAATGAAATGTTGTGATCAATCTACTTATATATAACAATTATTATTTGGTGTTACCTAAAAAGTGCAACTTTTTGTATAAGCGTTTTGTTCTGAATGCCAATTGCTTGCTGACTACTTTGTCAGAATTGACTATATTCTGCAAACGCAATTCAATATCTTGATTGTTCATTTTGGCAAAAGGTAATCACGAAATCGTATTTGTTTTGTTCGACTCTTGTTGTTCCAACTAAATGGATCCAGCTAATAAAGTAAACAAAGAATGTTCTGTTTCACGAGATAAATGTCCGTTGCAATATCAAACGTCAGAGTGAGCATTCAATTTTGAAAATGTCCTAATGTCACAGCGAATCCATTTCATTTTTCATACTTGTTTCATTTATTGAACATTTTCTTTTTGTTGCAATTTTCTTTCGAAAATAAATTGAATAATTTTGAATTAAATAAATTTGTCGTTATTTTTTCTTCTAGAAAAATTTCTAAATTAAAAAGTATTAAATAAAACATTTTGGGTATGTAAAACTATGCATGAGCGCCCCCTGCTGGTCTCTGAACCAAACGATACATAAAGTCATGACATTGACAGTTGTTTTATTTAGAAATATAAACTAAATTCACTGCATGGCATATATGGGATTCCATAATTGTTTTTTCTTCGGTAAAAATAAACAAAATCGTTTCGTTTTTGTTGTTTCAGTTATAAAAATTGAATATAAACATAGTATCGCATCAAGATGGACACAGACAGTGAAAATGAAAATGAAAATGAAGTCAATTTGACTGGTTTCTTATTTGGTAACATTGATTCGGAAGGAAGACTCGAAGATGATATATTTGATAGTGAATCGAAAAAGCAACTATCATCCCTGGCCAGGTATTAGTTTTTACAATGTACATCCACATTATATCAACATGTCACAAATCTTGAAATTAAAATGAAATTTATATCATTAGAATGGGCATAGGTAATTTGCTAGAAGTGATGCATGAACAGGGACTGGAAAGTAGAGATGATGATGGAAGCCCAACGAACGATAACGAAGACTATGACAAAAAGTCTGACACAGCCGAAGATTTTAGTGATATAACTGAACTAGCAGAGGATCTACAAACAATTATGCAGGTTGATAAATATATACATACATGAATGCGATTATTTCGTAATCTTATGAAATATGTGTATTTCTCTAGCCAAGTGTAACAACAGTCACATCGGGAGATGACTACGATGATATTGAAGCTGCCATTCCAGCAACAACAGTTAGAGTTGATCATTCAAATCGAAATACAAGCATTTCACAACAAAAAAACTCGGAAACTAATTCGAAAAATAATGACAAAGTGTTGATGCCGCCGCCAAGCGTTCCATTAAAAAGTCAAAGCCATGAATCAAGCAAATCAGACAACGCTGGGTCTGGTGATGAAGGAAAGAATGCTGATCGGAAATTGGAAACGCCACTTGCCGCAATGCTTCCATCCAAATATGCGAATGTTGATGTTCGTGAACTTTTCCCCGACTTTCGACCCGACAAAGTACTCCGATTTTCACGGTTGTTTGGACCGGGAAAGCCGACTAGTTTGCCACAGATTTGGCGCAGCGTTCGCAAGAAACGACGAAAACGAAAGCAATCCCGCGAGAATCGAGTGAGCATTGAATTTGATACTTTTCCTGAAATATTCTTATTGAAGTTAACGTGATTTGAATTTCAGCAAAAGGATGGATCAGACTCAACTAGTGAAACTGATGAAAAAGTCGAAAGAAGACACAAAGGTTTCTTTGCATTGTCTTATGGGTAATCACTTGAAAAATGCAATTTTCATTACAATTTATTTGTTCATTACATTTTCATTGAACACCAAAAGTTTCATTAGTTTGCATTTCAATGGCATTCTCTCTAAAGAATTGATAATTAAATAAAACTACAAAAAATAAAATGATCTGTATAATAGGCATAAGAAATCATTAGAAAGTAAGAAGGTAAGGCTTGCACAATGCACATGAAATCACAATTGAAAATTATCTGTAAATATTGAAATCGCGATAGCAAGAAATATTGCCGGATAATATCGGACGGACGGAGTCAACTGTCAACATTCAACAATGGAATAAAATTCAACATTGTTGTTGCAGGCGTTTATGATTGGAGGCGACACACACATTTTGCACCATAAACAGCCGTACCGCTTGACTTGACCAATACATATCTATGGCGGCCAATGTTACGAGACACAAAGTTTGCGTTGTCATGAGCCACCCGATCATATAATACAAATAAAATTACTAACAGTCACTCAGTTGTATGTAGCTATGTAATATTCAACATATATTAATCAAATTTTCAAGCAGTATTTCTTGTTATCGCGGCTTTATTTTGGAAAGTTTTCAATTAAGATTCACATAACTGTTCATTTATGCGGTTGCATTAAGAGCTGTTGACGTTATCGTTAACAGCAATTCTTGGGTAGTATGCTTATGCATATGTAAGTGTGTGGTGATAAAAGATAGTGATTTTATTTTCATTAAATTTTCATTATTTTCATTGAATTAATTATTTTTTGTGATTTTCTCTAGGCCAGAGCCAACACCAGATGAAATTGCTGTGGATGATGAATATTTGCTTTTGCGCGAAGTTTCAGATGAATCACATGAAAAAGCACCAGAAAATAACGAAAATGGTGAAAATAAGCCTAAAGTTGCAGACTGGCGATATGGACCGGCCCAAGTGTGGTATGACATGCTTGATGTACCAGCGTCAGGGTATGGATGATATTACCATCGTATCAAAATCCTTAATTATTTCACACGTATCATTTGGTTTGTAGAGAGGGGTTCAACTATGGTTTCAAAGTGAAAGATAACAAAGTCGAAGACCCGGAAGAGATTGAAATCACCAGAGACCAAATACCGGACGATGCATATTTAATGGTTTCACAATTGCATTGGGAAGATGACGTTGTATGGGATGGTAATGATATAAAAAAACAAGTTCTACAAAAATTACATTCAAAAACAAATGCAGCTGGCTGGTTACCGTCGAGTGGATCACGCACTGCTGGTCAATTTAGTCAACCGGGCAAAGGGCCAAACGCTTCAGCATGTACTACAACAACAAAACCAAACACATCAGCCAATTCGAAACTCTCGAAGAGTCAAGCACTACTCCAAAAGCTTGAGGAAGCGGACGATACCTGGTATAGCATTTTTCCTGTCGAAAATGAGGAACTATGTTTCGGCAAATGGGAAGATGAGGTGATTTGGGATGCTGATGCAATGCCGAAAATACCAAAACCAAAAATGCTTTCACTCGATCCAAACGATGAAAACATCATTTTGGGTATACCCGACGACATTGATCCATCAAAGATTGTCAAGAACACTAGACCACCACCGAAAGTCAAAATTCCGCATCCACACGTCAAAAAATCCAAAATTCTACTCGGCAAGGCGGGTGTTATCAATGTTTTGGCCGAAGATACACCACCTCCACCACCGAAGTCGCCAGATCGTGATCCGTTCAACATTTCCAACGATACGTTAGTCTGACTTTGTTTTTTTTTTTTGAGAATTATTTGTAAAAATGTGATCTCAAATTTGACATTCACAGATTTTATATGGCCAAATCTTCGGAGAGTACGATGCGGATGAAAGTTGGAGGTGGAAATCTTATCCAGCACTCAACACCTGTAGTTGAACTACGTGCACCATTCATTCCAACACATATGGGACCAATCAAACTACGTGCATTCCATCGACCACCAATGAAAAAATACTCTCATGGTCCGTTACATGGAACAACACCGCATGGCGTTCAGCCGCTTTTGAAACACATTAAAAAGAAGGCGAAAGTAAATTTGAATTTATTTTGTGTGAGAAATGTCTTTTTTCATCAATTTGCGTTTTTTTTTTATTGATTGTAGCAAAGAGAGTTGGAAAGAATCGCTTCAGGTGGTGGAGATGTTTTCTTCATGCGAAACCCAGAAGATTTATCCGGTAAAGATGGTGAATTGATTTTAGTTGAATTTACTGAAGAGCATCCACCGCTTATGAATCAAGTAAGTGTTATTTTTATTTTGATCAAATCATTGAGAAACTCATTCACGTAACAAAATTCGATTTGTAACAGGTTGGAATGTGTTCCAAAATCAAAAATTACTACAAGAGAAAGGCCGAAAAGGACTCATGTCCACCAGAGTACCGTTACGGTGAAATTGCCTATGCACATACAAGTCCATTTTTGGGTATTTTGCAGCCAGGCAAGTGCGTCCAAACACTCGAGAATAATATGTACCGCGCTCCAATTTATCCCCATACTGTATCTCCCACTGATTTCTTGCTCATTCGAACAAGGTACGTTAGATAATGATAAGTGTTTGTAAGTAATTTTGTCCAATAATTTGTCTATTTTCCATACTTAGAAACGAGTATTTCATTCGTGAAATTGATGCACTGTTTACGGTTGCACAAGAGTGTCCATTGTACGAAGTTCCTGGGCCAAATTCGAAGCGTGCAAATAATTTTGTTAGAGATTTCTTGCAAGTGTTTATTTATCGTTTGTTCTGGAAGAGCAGAGATCAGCCCCGTCGAATCCGAATGGATGATATTAAACGAGCCTTCCCCGGTCATTCCGAGAGTAGTATTCGGAAGCGATTGAAGCAATGTGCTGACTTTAAGCGTACTGGAATGGATTCGAATTGGTGGGTTATTAAGCCCGAGTTTCGTTTGCCATCCGAAGAAGAAATCCGGGCAATGGTTTCACCGGAACAATGTTGTGCATACTTTAGTATGATTGCTGCTGAGCAGCGCCTAAAGGATGCTGGTTATGGTGAGAAATTCATCTTTGCCCAACAAGACGACGATGACGAAGAGCAACAGTTGAAAATGGACGATGAAGTTAAGGTTGCTCCTTGGAATACAACACGTGCATACATTCAAGCAATGCGTGGAAAGTGTCTGTTACAGTTGACCGGTCCAGCTGATCCGACTGGTATGGGTGAAGGTTTCTCTTATGTTCGCATCCCAAATAAGCCAACACAAACAAAGGAAGAAATCGAATCACAGCCAAAGCGTACCGTAACGGGAACCGATGCTGATTTGCGAAGACTTTCACTGAATAATGCAAAGGAGATTCTTAGAAAATATGATGTACCTGAAGAAGAAATCAAAAAATTGTCACGTTGGGAAGTTATTGATGTTGTACGTACACTATCAACAGAAAAATCAAAGGCGGGTGAAGAAGGAATGGATAAGTTCTCCAGAGGAAATCGATTTTCGATCGCTGAACATCAAGAACGTTATAAAGAAGAATGCCAACGTATTTTCGATTTGCAGAACAAAGTTTTGGCTAGCAGTGAAGTTTTATCGACCGATGAAGGTGAATCAACTGTGTCGGAAGAATCGGATCTTGAGGAATTGGGTAAAAATTTGGAAAATATGTTGGCCAACAAAAAAACTTCTGTTCAATTATCAATGGAACGAGAAGAGCAGGAGCGACAGGAGTTGTTGAAGAAAATTATGGAGGAGCGAGAAGCCGCTCCGAAAGATTCAAAAAAGAAAGAGGAAACATCACCGATTGCACCTCATTTACAACCTGGTCGTATTCTGAAAATTACGAGAACATTCAAGAATTCCGAAGGCAAAGAATTTACCAGAGTAGAAATTGTTAGAAGGTAAGTTTTAAGTGTGTTTTTCATGGCAAATGTGCCTTTGTAACATGATATCATTCTGAATTGTTTCCATTTAGACCACAAGTTATAGATGCATATGTGCGAATCCGACAATCAAAAGATGAAGCATTTATTCGTCAGTTTGCAACCCTTGATGAAGCACAAAAAGAGGAAATGAAACGCGAGAAACGTCGTATTCAAGAGCAACTTCGACGTATCAAGAGGAATCAGGAGAAGGTAAATATGTTGCAGCAGCAACAAAGTCAAAACCTGTTGACGCAAGGTGTTTCACAACCATTGGGAGATTCTCCTACGAATCCATTCAAGCATGGCGCGTCTTCATCCAAAGATACTTCATCCAAAGAAATCAGCCCATCTCGGCGAAAGATCAAACTGAAGCCGGATCTGAAGTTAAAATGTGGTGCATGCGGTCAAGTTGGTCACATGCGAACAAACAAAGCATGCCCGTTGTACACAGGAACTGTTCCGCAGCCATCGTTGACTGTTGCCATGACCGAAGAACAAGAAGAAGAAATCGAACGTGAATTAAATGCAGACGACGAAGATTTGGTAAATGTTGACGGTACAAAGGTGAAATTGAGTGGAAAGTTATTGAAACGGCATGAAGATGTTAAGCGTCGTGCATTGCTCCTGAAAGTTCCAAAAGAAGCTGTTAACAAGAGTAAACGTCGACGTGCTGGAACTGATCAACATTGTGACTACCTGCGACATAACAAAACGGCCAAACGAAGTCGAACTGATCCGGTTGTTGTAATGGCATCGATTCTCGAACAAATTCTCAATGAGCTCAGAGAGTTGCCGGACGTTCAACCGTTTCTATTCCCAGTTAGCATAAAAGTAAGTCAATAAAGTTCATTCCTAAATCATTTGTTAATATATTTTACTTATGTTTCTGGTTCTACTTGTCTCAATAGAAAGTTCCCGATTATTTCAAAGTGGTGCAGCGTCCAATGGATTTACAACAAATTCGTGACAATCTTCGACATAACAAATATCAAAGTCGAGAGGACTTTTTGGCTGATGTCAACCAAATCGTAGAGAATTGCAGCTTGTACAATGGCCCGAAAAGCCCATTAACAGCTGCCAGCCAGAGAATGTTGCAAAAATGTGTTGAATGCTTGGCTGAGAAAGAAGAACGTTTGATGCGTCTAGAGAAAGCTATCAATCCATTGCTAGATGATGATGATCAAGTCGCATTATCATTCATATTCGAGAAATTATTAAACGAAAAACTGAAAAATATGCGCGAAAGCAATGTCTTCAAGAAGCCGGTAAATAAAAAACAATTTAAAGACTACTACACGGTGATCAGAAGGCCAATGGATTTAGAAACTATTTCAAAAAAAGTTGCCGGTAAATATTTTGATCACTTTAATCCAATCTCATTATCGATACAAATAACACTTATTCACTCGATTTTAGCACATAAATATCACTCTAGAGCCGAATTCATTGCTGATATTGTGTTGATCAACACTAACTGTGAGACCTATAACGGTGCTGAATCAGAACTCACAAAAGACGCAAGGGTTTTAGTTGATTTTACCAAAAAGGCATTGGACGAGGTAACAAAAAATTTAGTCATTTTTTATTTGAACTATCTCAATGAAGCAGCGGACTCGTCGGCACACTCGTAGATGTAGCATTTCACTTGATTTAGCAACTCGTTAGTTGCCGAAACATCGTCTATGCATTTCACTCGATATTTCACGTGAAATCTTAATATTCGGTTAGCCGAATACTAGCAGCGCCGCATACTAGCAATTCACGTTAAATATAACATACATACGCTATGTATTATGGGCGCCGCAAACGAAATCATACTTCGGCTAACTGAATATCAATATTTCACGTGATATATCATTGTGCTGTATATACGATGTTTCGGCAACTAACGATTTGCTAAATCAAGCGAAATGCTACATCTACGTGTGTGACGACAACTCCGCTGCTTCATTAGGATGCGACATTTTGATGGTTTTCGTTTTATTTCGCCTATTAGTTTGCGGATCACTGTAGTCAACTGGAGGCGAATATCGCTATTGTACAAGAAAGAGCTAAGATGGAAGCAGAAATGGATGACACTTGGGCTGATGATGATAATGATGATCGAAATGTAAAATCATATAATTCATTTCTTGTAATGAACAAAAAATTGATTTCTAAATTCTTACTGTGAATTAGATGAGTCGTGCAAGTTCGCCAGAAAATGATTTTGTTGACGTTGAATCGACTGACAATCGGCCGCATTCGTCTGCATCGGGAAATTCACAAAGACCGTCCACTTCATCTGGATTACCAATTACGCCAGAAACTAAACGGAATCGTGGACGGCCACGAAAATTAAAAGAGGTTCAAGATGAAGGTAACTTATACTGGAAAGGATTGTTTATTAATCATTCGGTATTATTTATTATAAAAATCATATTGGATTAATATTTAATCCATTTGGATTACTTGCTGTACTCAGAAAGAACTTAGCGGAACAATGATTCCGATTTATTAGCATTAAAACCAAACGGAATGATAAATCGGAATAAATGTTCCGAGATACCGATTTATCGGTATTCTTCAATGTAAAATTAGCGCGGCAATCATTGATGCTCGACATTCGTCGATCACAGAGGACGGTAGTCCGACAAGTGACGCACCATAGACTGTGCATTTCAAGCCAAATATCAAAAATGCCAGTTTTTGCGTCACGAGTATGTACACAGTATGTATGCTATTTTCTCAGGGCACTATTTGGGCCCTGGCATGTTAGGTACCGTTGGAAAGGTCTTGGCCCAAATAGTCGGAAATACCTATCACCCATGCCCAAAGTGTGGTGTAGGCAAAAATATAGTGGTTGGAAAATTTCGATAAATTTTCAAATCTATACCCATATCTTACGAAGGGGGTACCCAGGGGGTAGTCTGAGGTATCCAAGAGAAGCTCCTCCTCACCATCTTTCCAACGCCGGTCCAAGTGCCCCGATTGGTCCAAAAACGAAAAAGTTATGGGCATTGGCAGTTTGATCTTGATTTTCAATGAAAGTATTGATTTGGATGTGCGTCCGTCCGTCTGTCCGTACCTTCTTCGGTTTCCGATGCGCATATGCCTTAGTTGTAGCTAGTGTCGGAGCACGTTGAAATCCGTCCTCAGATTGAAATTTGCATTACAGGAGAGCTGGCTTTGGCTTCGCTAGCCTGCATGTATACGATTTTTTCAAGTATTTATTTCGAACACTAGATCAACTCAGACGCCCATCGGGCAAAGTCAGCTCGTTATCATTTGAGAAGACCTTCAAAAAGTTCCATACACACATGCCAATGTTTATGTGATATAAAAGAAAAAAGTCGATTTTTATGAAAAATCGACCCCCTTAAAATTCACGCCAAAGGCGATTTCTCAAAAATGAGTCCGACAATTTTTACCAAAAACTGAGCGTTTGTAGCCGGCTACCATACCAACAAAATGGCATATGCCGTATATCCGGGAAAATTCGTATTTCGAAGTTCTGGGCATAGGCAATTCATCAATGAACGGAATTTGTACGAAGAGTCGCATTCTACAATGAAATTGCTGTCAAAAATACGCATCTACTGGCTGAAGAAGGCTCACAAAAGACCATATCCGCTCAATTTTCGACAAGCAATCGATTGAAAGTGGTCACAATGCGATCTGAGGGCATTTCATGGTCGAAAAATAGGTCGGATTGAAGTGAATTTTTCAACTTGCTCTATTTTCACTGAAAATGATGTTTTTGTTTGGAAAACACGTGAAATAGACCTCCGATGACATTTTAGTCTAAGAAAACTAAGAAAACTTTAATCACATTTTACAATGTCCAATAAGGGGAAAATGGGACTTTTTTTTTAATGAAAGTGGAAATTTGCTATTTACAAAACTTGTGGAATGTGGATGCAGATGTTTTGTCCGAAAAATTACAATTTACCAATCATAAGACCTTAAAATAGACATATTTCTAGCAAAAGTGTATTTTTTCCGAGAATAATTGCCTTACAAAATTAGTGATATCAGATGAAAAACCTCTAGACGAGGTTAAAATGGACTGGCGTTCCTGTGCGTTGATTTACCACTCAAAAAGAATGTTATCATTTTGGGTGACGCTTTAACGCTGTTTCCTTCAAAAACATGTTTTCAAAATCATATTTCGAGAAAAAATTGGTTCGCTCCACTCATCCCGAAAATATTATACACTGTGCAACAACCGGTTTCCTTTCAATTGTACACAAAATAAAGGGCGCAATGGAAAACCAATGGGAACATTCTGAAATTTCACGCCATAGTGCTGAAGGAGTTCGGACAGGCTCTGTAACAGAGGCTCTATTAGACTCTCAACTCATTATTTTATAGTTTAGCAAATATGTTAACGGAAGAACTTTAACTAATAAATTTCAGTAATACAATACAGCCACTAAAACCGTTCACAAACATCCGAAATCTTGAAACACCGGTTACTGCAAGACTCCTTTGCATACTTGAGTTGAGGCAGACATCAAATTTAATGCTCTGTGTCTATATTTTATAACCGTCGTTTTTTTTCATTATCGTTTTTTATTCCGAAAATGATGTACTAATGAATTTGTTAGTTTCAGGAAAAACATGGAAAATGAAACGTGGTCGAGGAAGACCACGTAAGAATAGTATGACGTCTGATCTGAGTAACACACAAAATTCTTATTTGGAAGAAGGTAAACTGAACAAAATTGATGGAATATTTTTTTTTCTCTGTCAATTTTCAATTCACTTGAATTTGCAACCACGATTATCAACACATTTGTTGAGATTTTTTGAATACTCATTCAAATACTTGCTCTTAGATTTACAATTCTCGACTGATGACGGCGAATTTGAAGAAGTAATTGGTGAAAATGAAAGTGTTGCGGCTACCCTAGGTCAAGGAGAGGCGTTAGCAAGAAGTTCACAACCAGTTAATTATGCTCCAGGTATTATTCGATTCGTCCGGCATAATAACAAACATACGCCGAATATACACTAGAAAATATGCTCAATGGGCAATCAATAGGCGGGAATATATATTGCAATCTAGGGGAATTTAACTCTTACGAGTTCAGCATGTTTTTTGCCAGTTTGCTTGATTCGCGGGAGTTCGACGCGTTCGTTGTACGTACTGACGCGCACGGTCACAACTTTACACAAGTTTGTTTATGGTTTTGCGCGTTTTTCAAGTTGTTATTTGACAATTAAAACGCGTTTCAAGCTAAAAATCGGTTGTTTACGTGTATAAAGATTTTTCACATCCTTTCCAAAAGTTCAAAGATTTATATAATTATAAAATGGACAAAGGAAATATTTTTAAAGAGCTGGAGAAAGTGTTGAAGAAAAAGTTAATCCAGATATAATAAATGGAACGACTGATGTGTGCGCGTCGTCCAGCTACAAGTTTGCACACGAACTCGCGCGCGTTCGCGCATGTTGTTTTAATACGGAACTTGTCAACTGAGTGGAATCATGCAAGTTCTCTGGTGAATGTAACAATTTCGTGCGCGTTTATATCATTTTTTTACAAGTTTTCACGTAGTTAAATCCCCCTAGATTGCAATGTATTTTTGGCGTATAAAGAGTATAAAAACATATTTGCCGTTTCTCTAGGGCTAGACGTTTTTATAAAAGTTTTAGACGTTTTCCTAATGAGTCATACATAATGTTATAGGTGGTCATAATGAAGAAGATAGTAAGCAGGCAGCTGAAGCCATGGTGCAGCTGAGTGGAGTCGGATTTTATAATCAACCAGGTCTATATCATAATCCATTTGCATTCACTGTTAATGTATTAAATAACAATTTAATTCTAAATCTTTATTTCAATTTGTAGATGCAGATGAATCAATGGATCTAGATCCCAACTACGATCCGTCCGACTTTTTGCAAATGCCAAACAAGAAGGACTCCTCTGTGAAAATTGACTATACAAACATTAAGCAAGAGCCACAGTCGCAATCACAAATCTATGAACAAGATAGCTCATTCAGTATGTCAGAAATGTTGTTGTACGAAAAGCGAACAACAAAAATTGAACAGGGTCAGCAATTAGAATCTTCAGAGGTGACAGTCCATCCACAAGTCATCGATTTTTCAACCCAAGAGATGTATTCACAAGAAATGGCATTGCCACAACAAAACATAACACAAAATGAAAGCCTGGATGATGTGGCTATCCATGATGACTTGGCTATTTCAGATAGTGACGAAGAACAGCAACAAGGAGATTTGAAGAATCAATCAGAAAATGCAAATGATAATGATTCTGATCTCTGGTTTTGACCAACAAATGCACGAATTGATGAAAAAATTTGAATAAAACTGTTGACTTATGAATTAAAATGTTTATTTATAAAAAATTGAAGCATTTTCAAGTCTGGAATGCTCTGTATACTGCTACATGTATTTGCTTGGAACTCTGAAGAACCAATGGTGAATTCATAATATCTGTAGGTTAAACTGCAGTATGACGTTTGGCAGAATAAATAGTTTACTTGATTGTATTGTCATTAGCCACAGATTATACAGGTGGTGTTTGTGCTCAAAATCAGTCGTCAAACTTGAAGAGAATAGGACACTTGAGCATTTTACTCTAATTTCGTTGTCGTTCCACTTCCCCGGGCTTAATGTTGGCTTCGAAGCCTTCGAACGTTCGTTCGATATTCAAAAAAAAAATTGTTGGTTCGTTCGTTTGAAACGAGGAATGCATAGGAAGCAAATTGTATTTTGAATTCTATGGGTAAGACTAAAAGTAGAATGTATCTCGCTGACTTTGTCATGAAAATGGAGACTTCTTTTGACTTTTCTCAGAACATTATAATGTAATTGATACGGAAATATTGAAAATATTGGGGAAATCATTTTTTCTATTATTCTCTTGTAGTGAATAATTTATTGCGGAATTTCTCCGGGATGGATTTTATAATAATTTCAAATGTCCAGTAATCTGATCAATTTCGTCAGTGGGAGCTGGGCCAATAGCTAGTACTGTTTTGGAGTTGGGTGCGATTTGAGTTCGTCCGGCATCTCGAATAAGGCATGTATTTAGATTTCTGTCGCGTGCTGCTCGGAAAATGGAAAGCAGTTCACCTACAAAATTGAGATAATACAAGAGTTTCAATTTCTATCATAGTACATCGTATTTTGCGGCAATTTTAATCAAAATAATTAACAATTCACCTTCGCTGTCGACTTTTACAGCAATTTTAGCACTTCCAGAATCATCCCAACGGCGAACCAGACTTGGGAATTTTTTCATACAATTTTGGTATGCACCGACAGCTGCATGTCCGCATTGTGCACCAATCTTTCCTTTACCCATTTTCAAGTCATTTCGAACGACGAGTATCATTTTTAACTCATTGCTGTCCGAATATACCTGTCGAATAGATAAAAAGAGTATGCGTCAAATTTATCAACGGAATGAGCATTGCAGCTTATAAAAACCTACTCGTTCCTCCGCTATCGATTCTTCTTCAGTAGATTTATTTTGATCCACCAAATTCCGTATGCCATAACGGTAACCAGCTAAAAATGATAAAAGAACAGCAACACCACTAACTAGTTGTGTTGAATCAAGCATCTTCTCCATTTTAGTTTTAATTTTGAGAAAAAAAAACAAACTGGATAACTAGAAATCAATAAATTTGAGAAGCAAACTGGTCATTTGCGGTCTATGACTGATTTAACCACATTTTTTGTATCTATCTCGTCAAACGCTATGAAGTTGGCACAGAACATTTGACATTTATTCAGCGAAACGGCTGTAATGAAATATGTCACGTGAAATAATATGAAACTCGTAGAAATTGAAACTGTTGTATTGTACAGAAGCGAAAAAAATCACCACTGTTTGTCATTCGAAAGCCACAGTACATCATATGATCAGTCATTAGTTATCGTCGAAATGTTGAAAAATATTTTGGTAATATTTTCTCTGGTTGCTGCAGGTAAATTTAATTCCATTTTATTCGATACAAATACATTTGTCTGATGAGTTTTTCTGTTCAATGTTGAATTACCAATCAATTTTGGTGAAAAGTTGAAATTTCCATGATTATCGATTATCCATGAAAAACATAAGTGATATGATAAACCTTGTGACATTTCATTTGTTCAATTGAATCAGGTGCCAGTAATTGAATATTTCTTTTGATTTTTCAGCCTATGGCTCTGGACAACTCACAGTTTTAGAAAGCCCCAACGCAATATCATTCAAAAAACAAGATAGACTAGATGGAAAATACATTGGTCATGTGTTTAGTGCATGTACAGGTCATTCCATTAGCGAATCGGTACCGCTGAAATTACAATTCACCCCCTTTGACTTGGCTGAGAATGTCTGTTTGATTAACATCGACGGAATTAAGGAATTTACACCGAAAAAGTTGAAACCAAAGTCAGAAATCATTGTAGATGGCCCTGAAAATTCCAATGAAGTATTTTTGAACAAACTACAGGAGGAGGGTTGTTCTATTGTGCATGTTCATTTGAATGATGGACTTGATGCTGTAAGTTAATGGCATTGATATAAAAATGGAGTGTCAAAACTCTTGTAGTGCCGAAGATTAACTTGTAACAACTTTTTTTATTTGCTATTTTTAGTTGGGTTCTCTTCAAGACTGGTGCGAAAATTCATTGAAACCAGAAAATTCCAAGTTCTATAAGATGCTAAAAGATGAGAAGAACAGCGAATCGAAACAAATCCTCGAAGCAATTATAGCGATGTCAGTTTTGTCGGAAGCCAAATGCAAAATGCCAGCATTTCTGCAAATTGACTACAATCATGACGCGTCGAAATCACGTGACAAATACTTTGAGGAATTTGTCTCAGCAATTGAAGCCTTTGCACAAAAGTATGCAGAGAACACAAATGGCTATGGAATCGTTACAGTTTTGACCACCGATGAGCAATCACATAAGCGATCACGACGTGCTGTTACCGCTCCTTCTGATGTAATTACCTAATCTATTCGAATAATATAAACCTATAACGAATTTCCTAAGTACATAATTTTTTTTTATTCATTAGGCTGACGATCTAAACTTGGCCGAATCGTATTCGGAAGATTTTCCGGTAATTTTCAACATCATTTTGTGGTTTGGTGTTTTGATTGTCTTTTCAATGATGGCAATCGTTGTTGCCATTGCAACAATGGATCCAGGCCGAGATTCTATCATTTATCGAATGACATCAACTCGAATTAAGAAGGATAATTAGAGCGATTGAAGAGAACCGAAGTCTTATGCAAGTTTTTGAACATTGCATATGTAATATAAATGAACGATGGACGATCAATGTGAAAATTCAATAGTTTGCTTCATATCCAATTTTTAAAAAAAATACAACATTGTGGAAAACCTATTATATTTATTATATTTAGCGATTTCCTCCCTCCGTTCATTGTATATCAAATTTCTAAGTAATCAAAAAGAACGAAGGTATCATTATCAACCGACGTATCATTTGAAGAAAAGCAAAATAGTATTATTCAATAAATCTGGAGTAGTTGAAGAACACAGACCCGAGTGAACACGATAGGCTTCGATGAAAGCCTGAACTCGTTTCATCACTCTTTCATAAGTTCTATGCACATTCTAAATTTTGAACGCCTACGCGTTCATTGTTTCGAATGAACGAAAGAAGTGAGAATTAGAATGAGCTTTCATCGAAGCCTATTGTGTTCATTCGGGGAACTTTCACAAGTTTCGTGTTATCATTTTCATTTTCTATTCCTGTTAGATACAGTCCATCCTTCCAAACGAAGTGATGAAAAATTATGTAAAGTTAATGCAGAAGAAATCACAGATTTGAAAGACGTACACACAAACATCTTGTAATCTTATCTGCAAGTAAAAAAACAACAACCTAGGGAATAATGAATATTTTCAATGATTTCAATGAATTTTCAATAGCGGTGTGTATTCTTCATGCGTCAAGTGATTTTGGTTTAATTTACATCTTCTGTCAGAGCCAGAAAAGAAGCAACATTTGCGATCTATGAAATAAAGATCCCATGAAAAAAAGTACACCAGGTGTATGCGCCATGTTGATGGTGTACACCAGATATAAGCCGAAATTTGCGCCCAATCCACACCACAAATGCATACATGGCTGGTTGTGCACCTGGTGTACTTCTTTTTCATAGGATGAATTTCACAACAACAAAAAAGGGGAAGATCCCAACAATTTCAGGCTCTGTCTCAAGTGTTAAAATCTGTATATTTTATTTAAGGTTTGTGAATGTATGTGTTGAAAGAACTTTAAAATAAACCACATTCGCTAACACAAACAACATATGCCACTGTTTCCTTTCTTTTGTCATAATTTTCAAACATATTGATGCAAATGGGTATGATTAGTGTGGGATTTCCCACAAATAAATACAATAACTCTTTGCAATGAAACAAAAGTTGTTTTTATGCTTAAACGAAAATAGTTTTAGTTTTATTTCATCCCAGAATATTAATGTGAACTATTTTTCATAATGATTTGGAAATGGTCAATTAAATGTGCTGTTCCAATTAATTTTTGGGGATATTCTTTATTTGTTTGATACAATTGAGTTTAAACGTTCTACAAGAGAATTGATTAGTTTTCAATTTATTGTCTTGCATTAACGATTTGAACGAATTCTGGTTTCAATGATGCACCACCAACCAAGAAACCATCGATGTCGGGTTGAGAAGCCAACTCTTTGGCATTAGCTGCTGTTACTGAACCACCATATTGAATGCGAAGTGAAGCTGATACATCAGCCGACACATTGTCAGAGAACCATTTTCGCAAAGCGGCATGTACTTCTTGGGCTTGTTGTGGTGTTGCAGTTTTTCCAGTACCAATAGCCCAAACCGGTTCATAAGCAAGCACAACATTTGACCAGTCCTTGATAACGTCAGAAAAGGCTTTAGTTTGACGAAAAACGACGGCTTCTGTTTGGCCAGCTTCACGTTCTTCCAATGTTTCACCGATGCAAGCAATAACTTTCAAACCAGCTTCCAGAGCGTGTACAACTTTTTGTGCAATCAACTCGTCGCTTTCGCCGAATATTTGACGACGCTCTGAGTGTCCAAGAATGACCCAAGTTGCACCAACATCTTTCAACATGGCTGGTGACACTTCACCGGTAAAAGCGCCGCTTGGAACTTTGTAGGCATTCTGTGAAAATTTCAGAATGAAAAATAACATTTGAACTTATGGTCCATATGAAAAAAGTGTATTTTATAGAAAAATTTCAATTTTTTTTTTCATTGCAAAAATTTGTAGGAATTGCATCATCTCGTGTACCTGGCCCGCGACACCGATTTCTGCTGGCAAAAGTGATCTGGCGTATTCGATATAAACAGCTGGGCATCCAATAACGACTTCAGTATTTGGATCCAATGGTCCAGCGGCTAAATTACGGCAAATCAAATTGATGGAGTTCTTATCTCCATTCATTTTCCAGTTACCTCCAACACAGAAACGACGTGCCATCTTGACTAACTTTATTATTGCTGTAACAGGCAATAAAAATGTACGAGAAAATAAAATTAATTATCAATTTACTTTGAACTCACTATTGGAAACGAAAACAAATCAGTGATTGTATAATAATTTATAAAGTGGAAAAAAGTTGACTCTTTACTGAAACTTTCAATAATTCCAATTAGAGACTAACAAATTTCTTATAATCTTCTTAATTTAATTGCAAGTTCTTACCTCGTTCACCGGACAAATGAACTGAATTTTCATAGGATTTTTGGCTTGTGGAATACTCCTCTACTATAGAGTAATTTCCGACCTTTTGCTGACCTTGTTAGAAGTAGGAATAGAACACAATTTTCTTATTTGACAGCTGATAATTGGCGCTACCATCATATCGAACATGAACTTTTATAACGCATCTATATCACTAGATGGCACTGTGAATACACACCAAATAAACATTCAAATGTCAATTTGCGCGCAATCTCACTGTTGGAAATCGAGCTAAAATACTGTATAGAAGAAATAAAATCAACTCAATTTTTATTTTGAATCTTGAAAATTCATGGAATATGAAAATCAGATAACATATAGCATTCACATACTTCATGTAACATCGCATTCGTCTCAATTCATCACGAAGTATATTATTATTTGGCTGTTGTCAAGAGGATAGCATTAGAGATGAGACAATGAATACGAAATCAATGGATTCGATTATGGTTATTTTGAATGGCGGATTCATCCTTATATAAACAAGCTTTGCTACAAATAAACTTGATGCATCGTAAACTTCAATATTGTCCTCCGCATGCACTCGAATCTCAATCGTAGGGTGTAATATTTTAGATACAATGTGCTAAGTAGTATAGGCACACGAACAATGATAATATCAACGTTCAACTTGACAAGTCACAAGACACAGGTTAAATATGAACGTACGAACGAACGAATGGATGAATGAATGAATTAACAAACATTATAGGAGCTGAAATATTATGTACACGGTACCTTATTGCATCAATTCAATGAATATAACATGAAGCGCATCTGGAAAATTAACATTTCTGATGACGGAACAAGACAGATATGTAGTTTATAGCATTTGAAGCTCGAAATGTCCCATAGAACGAGACCCGTGCCCCATACTGTATCTATTATGTTGGTTCTATACCGAACAATGTTCACTCGAGTGCGCCGGCTGCAGTTTATTTGAACAGACACACAATCTCTTGACAAAAGGTCTCATTATTCTCAGTTCTATGACAAAGTTATGATTTTCAAGTGGTTTCAACGTGTCGTTTTATGGCAACTAACCGTTATTGTCGATATATTGTGAATGGGACAAATACAAAGACATCGTTTCATAGAAATCGTTTATTTTCTACCACAATTCAATGTTTTGTCAATAATAATCTCAAACAATGTAATTAAAAGAAAGTACATGACATACACAAGGATACAATCAAAGTTTACATGAAGTTTTATTCATCAAGCGGTGAATTCAATGGAAGAATATTAAATGCTGTATTTGTTCAAGTTTTGCCGAATGTCGATGCCGGTATTAATAGATTTGAATAACAGCACTATCACATATGTGTAAAACCGAATTCATTTTTAAATTTTCATCGCAGAAAAATGGATTTTTGCAATTGTAATCAAGAAATAGATCACTTCAACAGCACTTATAAGGGAAAATCCAATAATTATGCCGCACAGTCCGCCCAGTTCACCTATGGTGATAACCAGAAAAAATTAAATACTCTGTTCAATGTATCCATTGAATTTCTCTGAATCAATAGCTAGGGGGAAATATCGAATAAAAATACCTCGCAAATGCTCACAAATATGTGATATATTTGCGACAATATTTCAGCCAATGTCATCCGCCAATATAATAATAATTCTATGAAAATTGACGGTTGTTACAAAAAAGAGTAAATATTGTGTGAATATATTAAACCATTCAAATAAAGGGCAAATATAGGTACATATTTGCAGCTGGATCTTGTCCCTACTTTGGATGGGTAAAGTCATTTCAAAAGCGAAGGAAATTCAATCGGGGAAAAAACTAACAATAACTGAGTTATAAAAGTAAAGTAATAGGTATTATATTACCTATTACTATTACAGTCCATTACAGTAATGGCGGTATAACTAAAGTTGAAGGAATACTCAAGAAATCAATCGGCTGATATGCCATTAAATAGCTTGTGTCGCCACCTTCCCAAAACAGTATAGTATAGGTGTCACTCCCCCTCGGATCCCCCCTAAATCGGCGTAAGTATAGGGAGGATATGAAAATCTCATGTGGCAACCGAAGGTCATTGCTCCGTACCTATAGGAGGTAGGGCATTAGTCACTAGGGCAAAAATATAGTACTCGTGAATACCTTTCTAGCCATGTATATGGTGACCCACCCGGGTCCCCCCTTCATGAAAATATAGGTATTGCAAAAATTAATGGGAAAATGGAACTTTTCTTTTACTGTGCTTTGAGGAATATGAATATTGTATCGATTTTTTGTATCCTGAGGATAGCTTGGGTTCAGTACATCTCATTTCAGTACAAACATTTGCAACTTTTGGATTTACCGTTATTTTTTCCTTATTTTATGTGTACAACTTTCATATTATTTTCAATACCTTTGCCTATAAGTTCTCAGCTGTTACACATACGACACTGGTCTCTGAGGCAAAGTTATAGTACTTCATCAGAGCTCCACAGTGCACTGTACTAAAATGTACTAATCTGTACTAAAGTGTACTGAATCGTACTAAAACAATAAAAATGGTTCTCAGACTTTGATTCAGAGCCGTAGCCGGAGGAGAGCGCGAAAGGGCGCTGAGGCCCTCTAACGATTCACGATCGCCTTTCCCCATTTGAAGAACGCTTCAAAATATATGTGTCGCTGAGCATAAAAATGGGAATACAGATCTGTTATATCAAGAACCAAACATGAAAAATTATTTTGTAAAAACGCAACATGAATCTCCAGTCGGCATGAATGATCATGAGCTGCGTTTGCTACAGTATTCTTATGACGCGCTTCAGTGTGGCGCAAATTCATGTTGCGTTTTTACGAAATAATTTTTCATGTTACGTTCTTTCGCATATTGCTTCTTTGTTATATTTCTTTGATTGTTCAATCAAATGTTCACCAATGGATTTTTCACACAAAATACTATATTAAAATATAAAAAAATAGTTTAACTTTTTTCGCGATTTGAGGCTGTGTTGCGACCTGAGTTTCTATGAAAACGTCGAAGTGTCGGTGAAATGACATTGTTTTACATGGTAAAATGTGCACATGGCCGAATTTTAAGTATTGAGCAAGCATAATCAATAAAACTCATCATTTGTACAATCGGCGGCTCCGAATATTTCAATTTAACACATTGGTTTTGGAAAAAGTAGAGAATATTTGCATAAATGGTTAAAAATATTAAGTTCTTTCGAATAATTGTATCAGGAGTTCATAATTGTCAGCATTAGAGAGAGAACATAATCGAGCTCCGCTTATTGTACAGCATCACCATGAACGAACGGAGTATCTAAAACCATAGCGCATGGAAAATAACATGGATGAAATACGGCAACCAAACAAACATTGCGAAATTTCAACACATCGGAGAGTGTTGTTTTCACAACAGCAAATATTCATAACACGCTGACAACGACTACTTTCTTTAAGCAAAATCACTCCACGGCAATTGTACGCTCGAACATAGCTGATGTGGACACCAAGAAGCAGAACGACACTACATGCGCATGACGCTCAAACGGTACTTCATCACACATAGTTTGTTTGTGCAAAGGTTAACCCAACCCAGTAAAGCGCAATATTCAGCAAATCCAAAACTTTCCAGAGTTCAGTTTGTATTGCTTTTGTTTGTATCGGGAGTCCACTAACTTGAATCATGAATGACGTTTAAAATGTCATTTCTGACAAATGCCATTTCCAAAATTTAATAATTTTTATGAAGAAAGTATTTGCGACACACAGAAAAGAAATTGAAGATATTTCGTTAAACTCTATCGCAAACGGGGATAAACAGTACATTTAATGGTGTTAACAGATCAAATGGGATAGAATTCATCGCAAAAGTAGATGTCAGCACCATTAAATATATGGTTTATCCCGGTTTGCGATGAAATTAAGAGGTTGTGTTTTCTCTGTGTATGTGATCCGTATAGATGCCGTTAGAGCATTGATCGCTGAATATATGTTCCATTTACACTGCAATTTGTTGGGTAAACCAATAAACACTACAATACCCACGTACGATGCTCACCCGACACTTCGTCACACAGTTCGCTCTCATATAAGACAACGTTCTTGGTATCCACGCCAACTATGTTTGAGCGTACATTTTTCATAGGATCGATGAAAAATGGGACACTTTTTATGATTATCTTTTCCTTTAAACAATATTTCTTTGATGATTATCCTTGTAAATTGTCCCAAACGAATTAAAAAAAAAAAACATTTTTACAAAGTGCACTTACTTATGAATTCAAACCAGTTTTTTGCAATGTACTGCCTGTATAAAAAGTGATCTGGCCTAGCATAAAATATTCGCATCATCACAAGGTCACCGAAATCTTTAGTGTCTCTTCTGCCAGCCATGTCGAAGAATGCAATCCAAAACGCAACCGAGTGAAACAAAATGGGATTATAACAAAACATGAACATCAATATATACCGTCATGGAAAAAATTGAGAGAACCATCCATATTTAACATTAACATCTAACTCAATCTAAGAATGCGATAGAAATTTGTGTTGCATTGAGTATTAATAAAAACATGCATTTACAGTGCACTGAAGTAAACTAAAATGAGTTATTATATGTGCGAAAAACGGTAAAAATTTACCAAAACTTTCGGAATTTTCGGAACAAAAGTCGACTTTTTTAGAATTGAAATTGAACCAATCGAATATGAGGCTAGTACTATGTGAAAACATCACTCGAATTGGTCATGTAAGCACCCAAAATGTCCGTGAGGGATCGTACTAGAAGTTTAAAGACAGCAAAGGTAGAAATTGTTAGGTACATTACGATGGCCCCCCAAATTTAATGCTGGGATGCGACCGGTACCATTAATTCGTTCTCAATTAGTGCTGGCGAATGGTACCATCTGTTAATTTTATGCTGCGATAGGGAGATAGCACTAATTGACAAATGTGTATAAAGTCGATTTTTGGCACTTTTACAGGGGAGCTACCCGAAAATGAGACTTTTTTGTACTGTGACTGGGCTATGAAATTAGTGCTAGATTTGTGCTGGCAAATGCCATTCTCAGATCCAAAAATCCTTTACTGGTGACCGAGCACTAATTGTAGAAGTGTACGAAAAATCGATTTTTGGCACATTTCCTTGGCAAGTACCCGAAATCGATTTTTTTTGTGTGTAAATGCTAGCACTATATCTCCTGTTCGGAAAAGTGGATTACAATTGAGTCATGGAGTGAGTCACAATATGAGTCATAATCGGAGTCATCCATTTGTCCAAAGTGAGTCCAACTTGACTTTTAAAAAAAACAAAAAAAAAACGGTGGTTGTAACGTACCTGAAATTGTTTTCTCTCTAGGGTGATTTAGCTGTCAAACTGAAGCTCATCGACGTCACTTGCTCATTTTGGTATGAAACATTCTTATTTTTCAATACCAAAATCATATTATTTTGAATCGTCACGCGTACGCAATCCACATTAGATATAACGTCGTACTTCATCGTAGTAGCCATAGATCATTCGGCTAACCGAATATTAGGATTTCACGTGATTTATCGAGTGCACTTCATATACGATGTTCTGGCAACTAACGAATTGCTAAATCAAGTGAAATGCTACATCTACGCGTGTAACGGCAAGTCCGCTGCTTCATTGAGTATACTTACATATTTGAACGTATTTTGCGTTGAAAATGCCATATTTTGTATGAAAATAAAGAATACTCAACAAAATTGCATTCATTTCGAAAAACAGTCGGTACTTTCTTCTGAAAATATAGTATTTTGTTCTCCAAATGATGCATAATCAACTTGCAAAAATCTACTTAGTTCATAAGCATATTTTCCATCGCCGCGAAGAACGGCATTTTGTACGAAAAACGGTTAGTGAGTCCAAACAGTGTCGATAGTGTATTTCATTGATGCTCAAGTTGAGAAAAATGTGCTATGTGCAAATGTCAACGATACCAAACGTAGATGGGTGCTTGTGAGCTGTTGAGACTTACAATCTACTTGCATTTCGTGTTTGGACCGGTAATGCTCGTAATGGTAATCTGGTCGTTGAAATAGAATACTGTATTTGAGAGCATGACGGTAGACAGTGTAAACAGGATAAACTATTCTCAAACTCTGTTTCTACACCCACATCTCTACCATGTGTAAAAAGCGGCGTCAGCCATTTAACTGTAGAGTGCTCCCACAAATACACTCACAAATGAAAATAGAGAAAAAAACGCAAGCAATTAAATTTCATGGTGCCAGTTCGTTGATTAATTCATACACAGATAAATAATACCACTGTATAAATGAAGACAAGGCACTTTGTCTAATGTGCAGACTTTCGTTGAATTGGCAGAATCGGCATCAAATCAAGATAGAAGAATGGAATGCAATTGCATAACACAATTATACTATCCAAACGACAATAGCGGATGCAATTACTACGAAAATATGGTTCTGATTCGATTTTCGTGATGTCACCGATGAGCACACACTGTCTCTGTGAAAAGATTATTTTTATTTTATGGACAAATTCGAGCATTTTTCACTTTCGTAACACCTTTTCTATCGAATATCGCCGAATATTGTCATCAGACTTAATTACGGTTGCGCCAATTTTTGATAACGTTTCGGTTTCGGATGAAATGAGAGCCTCCACTCTACTCTCTTCTCTTGAGAGAAATTCTTCGTCTGTAGTAATATTGTACGGGATTGTTGAAAAATTCGGGTATCGAGTGTTTTACGACATAAAATTAGAGATTGTTGGAAAGAAACAAAAATATTTCATTCAATTTTCATCGGAACGTTATTTTTGTATGTGAAAACACATTGTTTAGTCACTAACTACGTACCAAATACGTTGAATGTCACCAAATCAATTGAGTGCTCGTGTACCGAATCGTCTGTGCTCAACATAAGAATTGTTCTTATTCCATACGTTTTTTTTTTATATCAAATAATAATGGTAAGGAAACATTCTATACTTTTGAATATGTTCAAGTCTACTTTATCTCAACGAAGTAAAGAGGTTATTCTGTTTGTGTGTTTTTCCAGAGTTTTCCGTTTCAGAATGTGGAGCGGGGAATGAACTGTATCAGAAATGCGCAGCTATCGGAAGCATCTCAGATGCACAGTAAGATACACTCAAGCTTTTTCATCCCCTACACTTTGGATTTATTTTTCAATGTGTTTTTAACAAATGTTTTGCATTTATTCCAGAGTTCAAATCGCAAGTGATAAGGGTGCTATGCCGTAAGTCATTAGATTCATTTGAATATGTCGGTGTATTTAACTTATTAATTCCATTAAATTTTTAGTTCGGCTCAATTCAATGCAATGCAACTTGTGCTTTTGAGCGGCGCGAGATAGCGGTAGCGCCTAATTAGACAGCGTGGTTGATTGTCAGAACTACATGACATTCTGTCAACGTTCCTCAATTCAGCTTCTTTAGGTACTCTGTGTAAATGTGTTTTTTATTTTAATAAACATCCAAACAATTTTTTTCAATAATGATCATTATGGTTCGAACCAAAACGATATATTCAATGTTGCTTAACATACTTCACTTGCGTTTTGGGGAAAATGTGTGAAAATTTTAAAACCTACTTGAAGAATGAAATATTTTCCAAAAAAGTACCAAATTCATGTTCACAAAATTTAATTTTGCAATATCGTTTTGTGGGCATTTTCATAAAAATATAATTTATTCAATAACGAAAGAGAATATAAATGTGTAACAAGCACGCTGTGTGTGACACTTATAACTTACGTACTATTGCGAAATAGTTTGAACTACTAAATGTCAAATATTTAAATTCGCGCCGCTGAATAGTTGCTAAATATACCGCAGATCCTATTTAGTCGCTACCGCTATTCACTGTCACGTCAAATACATTGGTTCTTATGGGAGAGAAGCACAGGTTGATGCAATGTTGCGCGGCTTGTTGGATGCTCCGATCAATGATGTGACAGTAAAGTGTAAACAAGGGAATATGATGGCAAAACCAGATTTGACTGCAATCAAAAGCTTGTATTTGATTCAACGATACGGCTTAGAACGGTAATTTATATTGAACCATATATGATACATCCACATTTGAATGATATTATTCAGTTGAATATATTTTCGAATTCCGATTCTTCAGTTTCAAAGAAACGCAGCAAAAAGTACAGCAGTTGTTAAATGGCATGGCGAATGTTCAAATTAATAACGATGACGTTTACATTAATGGATTTAGGTAAACATTGTCATTCTCCGTGTTTTTTTTCCTTTGTCAAAACTAGAAAATGATTTTTTTCCATCTGTTTTCTTTCTTTTTTGAATATGTAAAGAATCAAGTCGGGTTATCACTTTGGAGAAGCTTCAGGAGACACTATGTAAGTAATTTGAAATAACCACACGTTTTATTTGATATAATGACTATACGAAATATTGTACAGATTGGAGCGTGACGTGAAGACCAAGTTCATTCAGTTGCTAGCAATTGAAGAAGAAGCTGAACGGGAAAACCGCGTTGAAGATCAAACCTTCTGCTCGGTTACTATGGAAATAATGAACGGACAACGTGAAGTGACGGTCGCAAAACCAAACGGCCAACAGAATTCCGTGATTTTTATGGATGGTAATTTTAATTTCAATAGTAACTTGGGGACGAATACTGGATATAATTTCAATTATATTAGTTTCGGAAATGCTATGAATAACTTTTCCAACGGTCTCAATGAAGCTATGAACCATCTAAATAACAACCTTAATAACAATAATCGTTGGTGGAATTAATTCTTTGATCAACGAGCCCCTTTGTTGAAGCCTCGGTTTAAAGGAGATCAAATGAAACAACGTGTATCGAGTTTAATGCCACATCAATGGAAATGTGAAATTTTCCAAATAAAAAGAGTACAAACTAATCACTATTGTTATTCATTTTGAAGGTATCTTGAAAATTAGGCAATAACACCTTTTTTGGCAATAACAAACGGTGTTTTCTTCAACTTTTATTATTTGAAACACTTGAATTGAAATTTTTTATTTGTTTGTTTCGTATTTTCTCGAAAGTTTCTCTTCATAGATCTCTAAATTGTAAGCTCGAACCTGAATAAAAACTCATCGATCACAATGCACACCTAGACAATATTTATTGATTATTCTGTATCCACATTCCACATTTTTTTAAAGGAAAAATATGTAGTTGATTTTTATCGGTTGTTAATAATGTAAAAAGCTCAAACTATGCTCATATGTTGACCAAAAGTGATATGAATAAAAACCGGTGATTGTATCTTTGATGTTTCACAGTGTGATTTCAAATTTTTTCAAAGCAATTGGTAAAAACATACAGTAATTTGGCTGAGGCGAAAAGGTATAAACTCAGAATGAAACTTTCTCTCACATTTTGATAAGGCTTACATATATGAATGGACTCATGTATTTCAGTTTCGGAGACAGTGTGCGAGAAAATTTCGACAGTTGAATGTTTTCTTTTTCTTTTCTACAGAAAAAATTGGAGGAAAATATTAAAATCTATCTTGATCGCGTTTTGATGAAACTGGAACAACTCGGAAAATAGTGCTTCGAAGAAAGGAAAAAAAACGTGATCAAAACTTCCAAATAAAAACATTTTTATAAGTAATTTTGAAATTGATTCAAGCTAAATTATAATTAAAAGGCCAAACCTTTCAATAAATCGAAAAGCAGTGAGAGTAGGCATTGAATTTTTTTTCTACATTTTCTATGTGATTTTGTGTGTGTGTGTGTGTAAACCTAGAACAACAAATCTATATGAAAAAAAACGTCTTGTTTTCGCTTTGAAATGCAACTATTTAATATGCTTTTTTTTATTCTAGATCATTCATATATTCATTATTGAGAACTCTTGATTATAAAGGAAATCATTTGATTTTGATCGCTGAAAATGAACGAATACGCAGGAACATCAACAGCAATAGCAACAATATACCTGCAGATTGATCGGGTACTTCGTCTGGATTATAAATTTGAGCCTTTTTTCAGATAGAATTACGAAGTCAAACATAAGCTAAATGAAGGCCCACTCGATACAATTATGTCAGCAATGACTTACTTGAAATCCGATGAACGGAAGTAAAGGATAAAAGTAGTCAGATATCGACGTATTCAAATAGAGAACAAGTCCAGAAACTTATCCATAATTTGATACTGACACATTATTTTCCAAGCTTATTTGATTAGAATGCATATAGAGTTAATCAAAGAATTGTAAATACAATAGAAAATAAAGAGTAAAAAATTTAAAAGATTTCACGTGTATCCAAAAAACTAAAATGACTTATCATAAATCTTCTTCGAGTTGAATACACAACAATGACCCGATGCAGTTGCCACCATGCGAAACATTTAATTTTCGTCCGTACAGTTTGCTACAGTTCGCCCTTTCCAAACACACCGCTACAGCATTTCGTCGCATTGCGGTGATAGCTGCACGTTGTAAATAAAATGAATCGATCATAAACATTTTATCGACTTCATGCACTTAGTTAGACTAGATATAATATTCCATGAACAATTTTTCTTCTTTCAAAAGAGTTATGAAAAAATTGAAAACAGCATTATTTTCATTATCCAAAAGGTAATGTTGCAAATGAAAAAATGGAGTGTCACTGAAAGTATCCTCTGCCCATATAAATAAGTATACCTGAAGTATTAAAGCATACCGAATCCATAAAAGCATATTGTCACTTATTTCTTTTAGTTTGGTTGCAATATCAAAACCATCGTCCAAACGGTCCAAAATATGCTGAAAGCCAAGAAAGTCAAACGTTTCAGACCCATCGAAATCATAAAGTTTCCCCAAATATTTTATTCCTTTTAGGAAAAAAGCTTCATCACGTCCTTCTTTATCCACAGTGGCGCTAAACGTAACTCAAACGTTGCCATGATAAAATGAATGAAAAACGAAAGAAAGGAAAATGTTTACGATGTTGAGTAAAAACAAGTTATCGATGTTGCCATAACAAATGATGTGAGCACCAAAAAGGAAAAAAAAAATGAAAGGTCGACAAGTTCAATTCAATGCTGTGACTTACGGTTATATCAATTTGTTTTGAGTTCAACTTACAGTTGTTTTGCATAAGCCTGGGCACGTCGCATAGATTTAACATTGTTTGGACAAATGCTGATCCCTATGTGAATGAAATAACAAGTTAAAAACTACTTTGGGTATGAACTACATGTTTGCAACGTTATGCATGTGGCCAGTTAAAGACTATTAACATTTGACGTGTAGCGCACGTATCAAAAGATTTTTTTTGCCATTTCCTTTTTGCTGCCATGTTATAAGTTATAAGTATACACTTGCCGGGAAAGCCAATTTTCGAAATCGGATAAGCCGTGTCGTATAACGTAGTGACAAATGGATTAGTCATATGATGATCCAATGTCCAATTGAGAATGGAAATAATTGAAATTGCGCCAATTGTGTCACACAATTTGTGTGTACAACAATCCATAGAAATCTAGAGTGCTCGAAATAAGGAGTTTTTCATCAAAATATTATGGTAGAATGAGAAATGAATTTGAGATGAAAAAACTACATTCATACTGTGTGTTACCTTTCATTGTTGCTTCTTTTCGGTTCAACTATCCAATGATAGCAATGCAGTGTGAAGTTAGTTATAAACTCAACAAATTTATGATTTAAATCATCCCGTTCTTTGAGTGTTCGTTTTGATTGCCACTTCATATTTGAATTCATTCACAGCATTTCTTTGCTCCGCTCTTTGATATTCATTTCCATTTTATCGGAAAATAAACAAAAACGTTAGCTCGGTCTGACCACAATAAACGGAATAACGTACAATGCGTCAACAAAAATAATATAATCCACGCTTACAGTCAATAACAGATAGCTGAAAAAATATGCTAAGATAGAAAATCGACAAACTGAAATTGCGAGATTGAAAACAAGACATATTCTGATCAAGGCTTCGTGATAGTATACCTAAGCACGCCGTATATTTGATACTCGGCATAATATGCCAGCATATCGCACACACACACAGCTGCCGTACACACTAGGCTGTTTAGGAATTCACCGATTTTAAATCAACATAGCTCGTTTTATTCGTTGCACGTTGTAGAACATTTCGTAGAAGAAACTTTTTTGAAAAAATGATTCTCCGCGATCGAAATTGAAGAAAAAGAAAATAATCAATTGAAAGGTTTCACATTAAACGGGCAAGATGGCGACGTCGATTACATTTCAATACTTTCACACATTGCTGTTAGCCGAGAAGCATCTATGCGATACTTCTTACTCATAACGACACA